CATTCCAGCTTCTCTTGTCCGATATATCTACCTACCCTAAATAGTCATTCCAGCTTCCCTTGTCCGATATATATATATATATATCTACCCTAAATAGTCATTCCAGCTTCTCTTGTCCGATATATATATATATATCTACCCTAAATAGTCATTCCAGCTTCTCTTGTCCGATATATCTACCTACCCTAAATAGTTATTCCAGCTTCCCTTGTCCGATATATATATATATATATCTACCCTAAATAGTCATTCCAGCTTCTCTTGTCCGATATATCTACCTACTCTAAATAGTCATTCCAGCTTCCCTTGTCCGATATATCTACCTACCCTAAATAGTCATTCCAGCTTCTCTTGTCCGATATATATATATATATCTACCCTAAATAGTCATTCAAGCTTCTCTTGTCCGATATATCTACCTACCCTAAATAGTCATTCCAGCTTCCCTTGTCCGATATATCTACCTACCCTAAATAGTCATTCCAGCTTCTCTTGTCCGATATATCTACCTACCCTAAATAGTCATTCCAGCTTCCCTTGTCCGATATATCTACCTACCCTAAATAGTCATTCCAGCTTCTCTTGTCCGATATATATATATATATATATCTACCCTAAATAGTCATTCAAGCTTCTCTTGTCCGATATATCTACCTACCCTAAATAGTCATTCCAGCTTCCCTTGTCCGATATATCTACCTACCCTAAATAGTCATTCCAGCTTCCCTTGTCCGATATATATATATATATATATCTACCCTAAATAGTTATTCCAGCTTCTCTTGTCCGATATATATATATATATATATATATATATATATATACCCTAAATAGTCATTCCAGCTTCTCTTGTCCGATATATCTACCTACCCTAAATAGTCATTCCAGCTTCTCTTGTCCGATATATCTACCTACCCTAAATAGTCATTCCAGCTTCTCTTGTCCGATATATCTACCTACCCTAAATAGTTATTCCAGGTCCCATTGTCCGATATATATATATATATCTACCCTAAATAGTTATTCCAGCTTCCCTTGTCAGATATATATATATATATATATCTACCCTAAATAGTCATTCCAGCTTCCCTTGTCAGATATATATATCTGCCCTAAACAGTCACACCAACTTCCTTCCACCAACCTTTCTAGATATCTTTAGCTTTCTAGTTGTATACAAAGAGAGACAACTCTTCAATATCACCCAGAGTATAAGATATCAATATGCAGATATTCTTATCGCCTCGTTTCATACATTGTTTTCAGACTGAATATTTGACATCAGATTCCTTACTTATCAATTCTGTGTGAAGAAAATATGTCAAACAAACAATATCATAGGCAATTTAATGTATTACATTTACTAGGATATGAAACATGTTTGGTTATCAACACAATAAAAACTGAACGAAAAGACCATCTTTGTTAAAACACAAATGAAACCAACATTTATAAATATTTCATTCAGACTTACTGGCCACTATTTATAGCATGGTACAAGTCAAAGCGGTTCACAAGAGAAGATGATTTAAGAAGCAATAAAGGACTGTCTTCGGAAAGTGGAAACGCGGTAGAAAATTTGGCGAGCTTGTCTTAAAAATTGAAAACTGAAACTTTACGCTTAAAACAATGAACCGAAAGGAATAGAACTGATCAGTAAATCATTTGATGTTTATGCTGAGGACATACACACACGTGAGGGGAACTGTTTCCTAGAGGACTGATTGATAACTTGTGAACCTGGTATTGAAGAAGTTAAGCATGAATGTACTTTTTCAGTTCTTTTACTTCCGGACTATTTAAGGCTGTGTACCCGAAAACTGGTATAATTTGGTCAGTTTGTGTCGAAAATTAGCTATCTAAAGTAAACAGGCAACTGAATCGTGTAAAATGGACAAAATTGCTGAAAGAGCAGTGATTCAACATTTGCATTAGAAAGGTCAATCACCTAATGGGAATCTATACTGATATAACAACAACACTACACAGTAAGGAATGATGCCCCTTCATATGCTACAGCGAAAAGGTGGGTGGCGGAATTTAAGTGTGTCAGGCAGAGCCTTGGGACTGATACCCGTCCTGGAGGGTCTGTTACTGTTTCAACCCTAGAAATATACAATAAAGTCCATGATATGGCTGACAGGCGAGTTACAGAGAGATGTTTAGCCAGTACAGCTGGTATTTCACAGGAAAGAGTACATTCCATTCTTACGGAAGATCTTGCAATGAGAAAGCTCTCAGTCCACTAAGTGCCGAAACTTCTGACAGAAGCACATCAGGCAGATTCTGTCACGTGCTAATCTAAACCTTTTAGGGGCAAATCCTGCTAACTGTCTGCAGAAGTTTGTGACTATGGATGATGTGGCCCATCATTTCACCCCGGAGGCCAAACAACAGTCAAAACAATGGAATCACCTTGGTTCACACCAGCCAGACAAGGTAAAGACTGGACCATCAGCTGAAAAGGTTATCGAGTCGGTCTTCTGGGATGCTGATGGTATTCTGATGGTAATCAATGGCACATATAATGCTATTATGCGTCACTTCTTAGGCAGCTATGAGAAAATATTAAACTCAAGCTAAATAAAGGTGTCTTGTTCCACTAGGACAGAGCCCCTGTTCACAAGTTTGCCAATTGGCTGCCATTAACGACTGGGGCTTTGAATTGATTGAGCATCCACCTTATTCGACTGATCTCGTTCCGTCAGACTTTCATTCTTTTTAAATTTTGAAAAAGGCCATTTCCGGTATTTACTTCCGGTCATACATGTAGTAGTGGACTTTTTGAACAGTCAAGAAAAGGACTTCTTTAAAAAGTGGCATTGAGGAAATTAAAAACATCGCTGGCAAAAATAATGCAATTTGTTGCCATAAGTCAAACCCTTAAATATGATGCTCACAACTTACAATCAGCCATCGTATACGATACCCGAGATCATTAATGAATTTTACTAATCATAAAGTTGTTTCGTCTCTCTATAGCATATTCTGTTGATACCACACAACATATAATTTATCCCAAGTCTTCTTTTTTTTAATGTCATGGTTTGTCTGTAGCCATGGACACAGCCAACGCTTCAATATACATTTCAGATTATAGTGAACTGAAATTGATAAAATGATTTTGAATATTGAAAAACTTAGAATATATAGACCTATACGAATTAAATATGCAGGGTAGCGATACTCATCAGTGACTAAGCATTCACGAGCATTGTCCATCACTCAACACAATATCAAAATTAGTCAGGATGAATAATATTTATACATAAATTAGGTAACAGATACAATATCGTAAGAAAAACTGACCGGCGGAAACTCACAAGGCATCATTGAGGAAACATAGAAGGACTGTTCTTTAACCTTTAAGTAAGGTTAGTTGATTTTAGTCCAGCATAAGTCGCCCTTATTCATCCAGAAGCATTGATTGCTCTTTTGAAGTCATCCAGTATTGAAAATCATGACATTTACGTACGTGTGATTATGCGTTGATATTTTAACACTGATTGAGTCAAATATTACAAAAACAAAAACGTACAGTAATATTTAAATGTTAACATTTACTGACTAACATAAAAAATTTCCAGTTTCCTGTTTTGTTTTTTTCCCTTTTGAAGCAAACTTTGCCAAAACGGAAGAGAATAAACACACGTAGGCGAATATCATCTAAGATAGTCCCTGATTTAGCGTGTCAACAATAAGGAAGATCAAAGTTACGTAATCAAGAGTCATATGATAACGTATGATCGTGTACTAACGTATACCGATAGCCAAACCACGATTGACCATATATATGTGATAAGGCCGTTTGAAAGAAGATATTTCATTGGTCAGACCATTGATTTGATGATGCATTCAATAAAGTCTTATCCACCTGATATGGAAATAATATTAAGTAAGATGAAAAATAAGCATGATTTCTTTAAACAAAGGACAGAATCGGGAGACAATTACACTCTCTAATAAGGTACCATATTTTTCTTACCATATTTGGATATATAATCACCTCTTTTTCGTTATTGCGATCCCGTTTTATCCGGCGTCGTATGTGATGCATTGTAAACTTTTTCGATTCTTCTGGAAAACTCCAGAACTTATTTCAATGAATTTTTACAAAAACTTTTCATGGCTAAAGGCGCAATATAATTGTAAATTATATGATCCTCAAGCCTCAGGGGCCTGAGGGCGGGGCCAAAAAGTGTCAAATTGATTGAAACTTTAAAATTCTTCACGATAGAACCAGATACCATTTATCGATGGGAGTGTCTTATGGTGCTTTATAAAAATGGTAAATGGAGTATCAGCTGACTGTTTGATAAAATGCACATATTGACCTTGACTGAACCCCAGGGGCTGATGGGAGGGGCCAAAAATGGGTAAAATTGACTGAAATTTCAAATATTTTTACTGTTCCTGGAGGGAAGATTTTTTATAGGAAAATTCAAATCTTGAGTGATATTTCTTTTCATTCCAACTTGTTTAGAAGCCTTAGCATGGGACAGCAGTATATGTATACACAATATACATTTGCATTATGTGTACAACATAGTTAAAGTTACATTATCTTTTTAACAAAATCATTTCTATGACATGTTAAAAGAAGCATTACGACACAGGTGACCGTTAAGATCCTTGAGTCTTCATGTGTTAGAGATTTTACTTAAAGAATACAGCATTTACGGACCTTTATCACAAATACACCAGGATTCAGAGTACAAAAGCCACACAATTTGATAGTACCTTTTATTACAAAATCAGAATTAGATAATTGGAGCTAATTAATTAATCAATCATCATACAGCTGTTATGTCCTTCTAGGTCTCATCTAGGACTTGGCCCTTACACTTAAATTGAAAAAAAAAATATGATCAAATAGGAATATAGAAATATTCACTAATAGTTACTGAATAGTGTAAAACTACATTCACAAGATAATTCCGTGATCGTCCATACATAACCATCGTTACAAGGCGAATTTATTTCTAAAACGTGTTCGTACGTTCACGTGACATTATAAACGTGAATATATTCTATATTGCGTCACAGAGGTCAACTACGATCGGATCTCCTCCAGTTTGAGGTTCATAGATTTCGGTTTCAACAACGCAACCGATGCAATCACAGGAGGAACCTAAAATATTGAAATAAACAATACATTACACATTATTTCAATTGGAACCTTATATGGTATGCAATAGATTACACGTGATTTCAATTGGGACCTTATATGGTATGCAATAGATTACAAGTGATTTCAATTGGAACCTTATATGGTATGCAATAGATTACACGTGATTTCAATTGGGACCTTATATGCTATGCAATAGATTACAAGTGATTTCAATTGGAACGTTATATGCTATGCAATATATTACAGGTAATTTCAGGGGGAACCTGATGTGTGAAACTATAGGAGATTTTGGGAAGAACCCATGTGTGAAATGTAATTCAGGAAATGTGAAACGTCTAAAAATAACGTGGAAATATGTTATATGTTATATACGGTACGTCAGGACGTCACATCATTTACGGTATGAAGAATAATCATGAAAATCTGTTAAGCCAAACATCTGAGCGACGATGATATTATGATAGAAATATTTATAAAAAAAAATTAAATAATACACAGTAGGAAGTAAAGTTAAACACCGAGATATTCTTTAAGATTATGAATTTACTAAAAATTTGTAGTTTTACGACCGGAAAAAGTTTTACAACGGAATATTTTGTTAAATACTGTATATCAATGTGGCGTTAAGTGCTTATTAAAGAGGTTGTAATTCAAAAGCAAAAATTGTCACCTGTGTCTCAGAACAAATAGAAATCTCAAAGTTGCGGACAACTTTCGCTAGTGACATTTTCAATTCCATCTGTGCAAGTCTCATTCCAACACAGTTCCTTGGTCCATATCCGAACGGGAGGAAGGTCAACGGGTCATAATTATCGGCAAATCTACAATATTGTGTGAACGTAGCTATTACTGGTTATTTTCCTAATATAGTTTAAGCTGTAACAACAAATGAATGTAAAGCAGGATTCAGGGTATGAACCATATAGAAAAATACAAAGTAAACACAATAACCACTACCAGGACCCTCATAAAGGGGACTATAGCTTCGTAGACGTAGACTTTCAAAATATTGATTCAAGGTTCAATAATCGTAAGCGAGGGATGCGCTTTTCTTACAAGGAAAACACACTTAACAAGATATAGCATTCATGTGATATCGCAAAGAAATGTGAATTTAGGGTAAACAGAAAGAAAAAAATAATTATGAAATACCTTTCCGGGATAAATTTTTCCGGATCTTTCCAGTTTTCCGGATCATGGTGAATGCAGTATATTGGGATACCGATGTTCATGCCGGCTGGAATCCGGATATTGTTGATAACAGTTTCTTTTACACACACCCTGTCTGTCCTGTCAGAAATATAATGTCTTCAAAATACATCTAAACATGTTTTATAAATTCTATTGTTTATGGGTTTTATCTGTACGTAAATTCCTGGGAAATTAATGTTTTAATTCGCCCGTCTGCTTTGATTATTGATATAGAATCTTACTGAGGTCCGGGAGGGTTGATCCGGAGTGTCTCGTTGATGACCATTTCTAGGTATTTTACCCGACGAAGATTTTCATATGTTATCGGATTCTGTAAGAGATGGAAAGTCGGTATTAAAAAGACATCCCCAAAAAAGCATCATGAGAGAAATGAAGATTTCAAACAGTTTGGAATAAATCAGACATGCCAGTAGTATGTCCGAGTTGAAGACTCCCAGCATCAGGTATGAAATATTTCCTTACGTACAAAGAATTCGGTTTTTGCACATACCAAATTATACCAAATTTCCACAGTTGTTTTATTGATGATTCATATATGGCGTACATACCGAACCGATCTGTTCGGACAATTCCTGTCGGAGTTTGTCCTGGTACTCTGGATGAATGGCAAGATAATAGGACGCCATTGCTAATGCTATAGTTGAAATCTCGTAGCCAGCAAAGAAAAAGATTTCTGCGTTTCCAAGAATTTCGTCAAAAGTGATACCTGGAATTTAACATGGTTCTCTTATGGTCTGATCTCATTTCGATAATCCGGAATTATCGCTAGCATACTAGCACTACCAAAACAATATTCCAAAAGATACATCAGTATATCAACATTCTTCTCAGTCCGATAATCCGGAATTATTGCTAGCATACTAGCACTACTAAAACAATATTCCAAAAGATACATCAGTATATCAACATTCTTCTCAGTCCGATAATCCGGAATTATCGCTAGCATACTAGCACTGCCAAAACAATATATCAACAAAAGATAATCATCAGTATATCCAAAAGATACATTATATATTCTTCTCAGTCCGATAATCCGGAATTATCGCTAGCATACTAGCACTACCAAAACAATATTCCAAAAGATACATCAGTATATCAACATTCTTTTCAGTCCGATAATCCGGAATTATCGCTAGCATACTAGCACTGCCAAAACAATATTCTAAAAGATACATCAATATATCAACATTCTTCTCAGTCCGATAATCCGGAACATGTAACTAGAAGTAGTATGGTTAGTTTTGATATACGAATTAAACATAAAGTATAAACGTCTTCTTTAACACAATAGGTGGGTGCTATCGAACTCCGAAGGATACATGTTATACCACTCAAGATGTTATTCATTAACGTATTTTGATTGGCTTACAGGATGAACTTTGAACTTTGATCGAAGGGACGCTTCACGTACTCGCAGTTCTTGAATTTCATTGCTAAATAAATACATTCTTACAAAATACATCTTAAATATATCTTACACTATGTTATACATTTAACCGCACCAACCGAATCATGCTATCACACAACACAAGCATTCTCGCAAGCCATGAAAATTCGGACACAAGTTAAACTAATTGGAAAGAAATAATTATGCGATTTCAGAAAGAGACACATGAATGTGGAACGTGACCTATCTAAAACAGGCGAGTACTCAATATGTACATATATAAATAAATCCTTATTATCATTACTTGAATAGTCTTTATGTCCAAATAATAATTTATCTAAACTTTACGGCAAATATTTATAAAGGTTTCTGAACATGGCCAGACATTGGTCGTAAGGTTGGTGCAGAACTTGTCAGTTCAACGTCTTTTTTAATCTTTGTAGAAACAGGTCACACAAAGTCGTTTTTTATGGTATTCTTACATCATTATGTATTTTCCAAAAGGTTTTGTAACTTTTGAAAAATAATTTAACAAAGTGAAAGCAAAACCATATTTTACAACTACTGTTGTGTAACCTCTATCAATCTACGTGTTACACGGATGCGCTAGATTTTGTAAAACTTGTGTATCTTGGTTGATTAGCATTGAAAATGGATATATTGTTAAAATGCCTTAAACAATAGTTCTTTCCATAATTTCCACTAAAATGTATTCTTTCTTCTTACTTTTTTGAACTCGCAAAAAACTTCTTGTACGAATTCAAAAACTCTAAAATATGAGATCAAAATATTTACAATGTCCAGAGATGTGAAACACCTCTCAAACATTTTTATAGATTTGACAACAGAAGTTTACGCATTTTGGTTAGATCTACCCGTGCAAAACATTGCGCACCTACCAGCGTATTGCTGACTCTGTTGCTTGTGTGCAAACGATTTATCAAGCAGGTGCGACAGATTGAATATCTTCTGCATCCTCAGCACAGACGTAAAATACTTTAATAACATCGTGGAACAATACAAATATGGTATTGAGCTCTCTATCGATCCGCGAGTGGAAACCATGCCAGATCAGCAAAATGTCGTGGTTGTCAGGCTATCACGATTTACCTTTTTTAGACCAGGTTGTTGGAAGTTTGTTTGTTTGAACATTTCCATCGTCATTGTCGTTATCTTCTTCATCCGAATCTTCATGGTCCTGCTGTACATTTTTCATTAACTGAAGGAAATCTGCATGTTCCTGATAAAAATCACCAATAATTACGTTTAGAACATTCATATAGGTTGTTTAAAATTCATTATAATATGTTTTATTACAATTGTCTTTCCTTTTTTAATATCTGAAATGAACAATATTTTATCATATTTTCTTTTTCGCTGTGTAAAACTGAAGAGGAAAATGTTTTTTTTTCGTATTTCATATTGATAATAACAGATGATAGCTCTTAATAACCTTGTCTCCTGCAACACGTTCATTCAAGAGTTTGGTCGTCACATTGCGGAAGAATGCCTGGACGTCTTTTTTCACAAAGGCCCATCCAAGGCGAGGCATGAGAAAACCGATTTTAGGTAAAAACACTACAAAACAACAAGAAAGTTTAGTTGTTGGGGTAAAGGTATTATACAGACATATATTGAAATAAATTGCTAAGAAGGAACAAAGACAAGCCATTAAAATTATATATGTAGATGATTAACTAAAAACAGAAGTTTTGACGTCTATTCTGGAAATGTGTTTCCGCTCTCAATAGAAAACAGCGTTAACTATTTTGTTGTTATCCCCCTTTAACGTACTCAAAACCAAGAGGATTGGAGAGGAGAGCCGTATATCCATAAATTTCCTTGCGTTAACCACGAACTCGTCGTTAGGATCGTTTTGTGAATCCACCTGAATACCAAACGCTGTGGAGCATATCACATCCATAGCATAGGCTCCATATATCCTGAAATATAAAGGAAAATCTCTACTAGTGCAGTGGACAAATGATATATAAAGGGAAAACTCTACTAGTGCAGTGACAACTGAGATAACAAGGGATAACTCTACTAGTGCAGTGGACAACTGAGATATAAAGGGAAAACTCTACCAGTGCAGTGGACAACTGAGATATAAAGGGAAAAACCTTCTAGTGCAGTGGACAACTGAGATAACAAGGGATAACTCTACTAGTGCAGTGGACAACTGAGAACAACAAGGGATAACTCTACTAGTGCAGTGGACAACTGAGATATGAAGGGATAACTCTACTAGTGCAGTGGACAACTGAGATAACAAGGGATAACTCTACTAGTGCAGTGGACAACTGAGATAACAAGGGATAACTCTACTAGTGCAGTGGACAACTGAGATATGAAGGGATAACTCTACTAGTACAGTGAACAACTGAGATAACAAGGGATAACTCTACTAGTGCAGTGGACAACTGAGATAACAAGGGATAACTCTACTAGTGCAGTGGACAACTGAGATAACAAGGGATAACTCTACTAGTGCAGTGGACAACTGAGATATAAAGGGAAAAACCTTCTAGTGCAGTGGACAACTGAGATAACAAGGGATAACTCTACTAGTGCAGTGGACAACTGAGAACAACAAGGGATAACTCTACTAGTGCAGTGGACAACTGAGATATGAAGGGATAACTCTACTAGTGCAGTGGACAACTGAGATAACAAGGGATAACTCTACTAGTGCAGTGGACAACTGAGATAACAAGGGATAACTCTACTAGTGCAGTGGACAACTGAGATATGAAGGGATAACTCTACTAGTGCAGTGGACAACTGAGATAACAAGGGATAACTCTACTAGTGCAGTGGACAACTGAGATATGAAGGGATAACTCTACTAGTACAGTGAACAACTGAGATAACAAGGGATAACTCTACTAGTGCAGTGGACAACTGAGATAACAAGGGATAACTCTACTAGTGCAGTGGACAACTGAGATATGAAGGGATAACTCTACTAGTGCAGTGGACAACTGAGATATGAAGGGATAACTCTACTAGTGCAGTGGACAACTGAGATATGAAGGGATAACTCTACTAGTGCAGTGGACAACTGAGATAACAAGGAAAATCTCTACTAGTGCAGTGGACTACTGAGATAACAAGGGAAAACTCTACTAGTGCAGTGGACAACTGAGATAACAAGGGAAAACTCTACTAGTGTAGTAGACAACTGAGAACAAAAAGGGGATAACTCTACTAGTTCAGCGAGTAAGTGAGACTTACATAGCAGTTTAATTCAACATTATGTCCTTCTGCATCTAGTTCCAACTTTGTATTAAACCTTCTGCTAAAACTCTCATGTGAAACGACAATCATTTGATCATCAAAAATATCCAGTGAAATACCAAGCTAACACAAAAAATAAATTGTGATTAACAAAGCGGTAATAGGGCGAACGAAAATCAACCTTACCAAGATGCATAGCAAATATCAAAAGTATAAAGTGAAAATAATCAGTGACCGAGAATAAACTGCACACTTGGAAACATGAACGGTAAGAATGATGAGCATTCCTCTCAAAACAGAACAGGGCCAGTGATCTAGTCATTACAGAACGCTGTGATACTCACTCCATCACTTCCATCACTCCATCTCCATCTTTTATCTTCTTCCTCAGTGATTCCACAAGTGTGTCGCTGGCCTGATCCACCAGCCGAGACATCTGGTAAATGAGATTATCTTTTCCTTTGTCATTAATGGTCTAACTTTAAAGTTCTTATTTTAATTCACAATTTGTAAGATCTGTTGAATGCTTAAAGACGAAATATCCATAAAATTGATTCAATGCACACATGCATTTGTGACAATATAACTATATTTACCAATTTGTGACTTAACTAAGGTGTAATCCTACGAATTGCGTATTACTAGGCCATGAACATCCAACGGAAAAAAAATATAGATTGAAGTTATACCAAGTTTGAAATTGAAAGAAGATGATAAAAATATGCATTGAACATGTTATGTTGGGTTTCTTCAGTCGTTCTCATGTTTTTCTTTTCTATCTAAGGTAAGATGAATGTTAGCTAGGTCAGGGCAAAAGTGCTTGATTTTGATTTTGCCCTTCTATATTTAGTATTCATATTGTCAATGAATGCCAAATGAAAACAGTTCATTGATTAGTTAAACAAACCAAAGATATTAACGATTGATTTATGATAAGTGATGTTAAGTTAACATACATTCGTACAATTATCAGATTAAAGGATGAACAAGAGCGTTTAAGACATATCAAATATATTAATCAGACCCATCTCAACAAATTCACAGCTGTGAAATGATAAAAAATGTTCCCAATTTTTTTATTTATCAACATTTCAAAGTTTTCACTACTCACTTTTGACTAAGATATTACAATGATGATGCTGATTGGTAGGGAAGAAGAATTTAAGTAAACGATTGAAATCATTGTGCTCTGTAGACATGCATGTTGAGGTGTATGTAAGAACTTTATAATTATAAGGATGAAATATGAACCTACCTTGCGTAGCTTCCCCGTAGAAAAGGCGGGAGTTATCTTATTACGTACGTGTTTCCAATGATCCCCACCTAGGTTGTTAAGAGACGTCTCCATGTCACCATTGAATCCTTTGAATATCTAGGAAGTAACGAAAGATTAATAGCGTCTGACATGACAATGATATCATTTCCACTTACAATTTAACGATAAGCAGAGGCCTTATTTGGTAACTGTGTTTCCAAAACATATTGAGAGTGGAAAACAAAAAAAAATCACAACCACAAATAATTATGACTTGTAAACCATTTGAGTTTTGTATTTATAAGTCAATACTACTTAGATTAGGGCTTGACTTCGCTGTGACTCATTATTTTATAACCAGACACAATTGTTTTTACATATATAGGCCTTCTTTATATATTAATAATCTTGTTGATGACTATCTTACTATTCGATCAGGGAAGTTGTTAAATTCTTTCACGAGGATTTGTCTGAGCATTTCTTTGTCTCCGATGACAAGGGTCTGTGGTATCAACCCTCCATAGTATCTACAAAGAAAAAAAAAGAACATTGAGCAGGTGAACACAACTTTAAATGTATATGTCACACACCTACATGCATAGTGTGATGCAAATATACATTCCAGCATCAGATTGTTGGACAAATCCACGACTGTTTTAAACAACGAAAAACCAACATACAGCATAAGACTTTGGTAAAACTTCTAATGGGATGTGAAATGACAAAGATAATTTGTCATTGGTTAGACAGACATTTATTGATAACAATTACTTATGATTTTACTTTTACATGTTACATGTCAACAAAATGATCGCATTCGGCAATAACGCAAAACATTGAAAAGGAAAGAAAATGAAAAACAAAAACAAAATAATACATTTTGTAAAAACAAATGGAGGTTTTTAAGTAAGTAGCATGGCAACGAGGGAAAAAACAAAAAGCACAATAACTCCTATTATTTTTATATAATTATTTTTCGCTGTTCATCTCTCGATAAAAAACAAAAATCTAGCTCGCCCACTTGGTAATGATTGGAGGAGTCAATGGCAACGCGCCATCTTGCGGCATTTCTGTTGGAACTTTTTTTTTTTGTATGCTTGAAATATATGTTCACGTTATCCTGCTGCCGTGTGGATCACTATGACACAATGATGTAAAAAGAAACACAGCATCATAAAATATCCAAGTATCTTACAATGCACAAGTCCACAAATGAATGAATTTTGAATAACTGAAAAAGGCGCCAATTAGTTGTCAATGTCGTCACGTCATGTTACGCCAGCTGTTATGCGCAGTGATTTGTTACAAAATAATCCTTCGGGACGTTATCAAATTCAAGCCTTTAGCTGCTATTCTTGGTTTTTGTTTGTTTTAGTAACAGTAAGAAATCATCGTAAGCTTTTATAGGAATATTTTTAGTTCCATGCTGCTATGAGAGAATAGCCTAACTAATGATAAATGCGCAATTCAGTTTGCAAAAAGGTTATTCTTTCATACCAGCATGAAACTTAAAATATTCCTCTCAAGCTAATCAAATGATCTACTTTGTACAGCAGAAGTTTGGTTTTCTTAGTGACGTCTTTAAAATTATGATGGAAGGGTACATATAATTACAGAATGACTAAATATACTTACCCGAAAACCTTTCCATATTTTTCAAAGTTATCTTTCTGAAAGACGTGGATTCCCTGCAACACAAAGCATATCGAATATAATGGACGCGGGCCAATAATCCATATCCATATGTTTATATATCTCAAAAACATAATTCGGAAAGTATTATTCATCGTATCATCAATTCAGATTAAATCTAGATAACAAACGTATACACAATCAAGCACTAACAACAGAGCCAAGACCCTTAACGGTTACCTGGCAACCGACGAATGGATGGGCAAACCGCAGAATTCGTCGATTGTCAGACAACCCTGATGAATTCAAATTTTGAACCATTCCTTGAAAATATCAGAAGTTCATAAATGGTAGGTTCTGCGCAGGAAAAACAGTTACACAAACAAAATAAGTACTGTTGAAACTATATTGAACTTTTGATCAGATTGAAAAATAACAACAAATCACCTCTTGTCTTTTCTTTGAAAAAAATTAAACTTCAAATATTTTTTTCTCATTTGTGAGAATGAAACATGAGAAGAAGTTCAGATTATTTGTTCTAGACAGTTAAGTTGGATTTTGGACCAAAGCATAGAAATAAGATTTGGTCTAATTTCGGGGCGGGTGAAGGAAGACAAAAGAGGCGAGCCCCTGAAACATTGATTGAACATAGGACTATTTAAACTAAAACAGTTTTGTTCACTCTGTGTTTACTTGACTTTGATGTTCCACTGAATTTTTGCCTGACAATGAACGTCAAAAAATGCTCCTTCATCGGATATAACAGCGATTTTACTAATTTTCATCAATCAACTTGTTCATAACCACCTGTAAAATCGCTTAGTTCAACAACTATTTCCATTTCTAAACGTAATATTTAAGTAAATTCTGCATTACCGCGCATGCTAAAATAGAGCTGTCACTGCCGAATACAGCAAACTATATGTGACAGGTGTATTCAGACAATGGCAGTGCCAGCTGAAGGATAAACAAACTACCCGGTACTGTGTGTAATGGTGAGTATATACAGAAAAGCCTTCAATACCTGACAAATCAAGGATATATCACTAAACACACTGATTGCATCTTCAATGCGACATAAGTAAAACATATCAACGTTAGAAACAAAAAAAGATTGACAAATATACACCTTCTTACTTAGGTCACGTAGACTACCAATGACAGGCCAAGGTGCAGGACCAGGGATACCCATCTTCTTAAAGGTACCATGGTGACGACTCATCATACTGAAATAAAGGTATGAAATATATCATTGTTACCATGGTGACGACTCATCATACTGAAATGAAGGTATGATATACTGTAAATATATTATTGTTACCATGGTGACGACTCATCATACTGAAATAAAGGTATGAAATATATTATTGTTACCATGTTGACGACTCATCATACTGAAATGGAGGTATGAAATATATTATTGTTACCATGGTGACGACTCATCATACTGAAATGAAGGTATGAAATATATCAATGTTACCATGGTGATGACTCATTGTATTAAAATAAAGACATACAACATGTTTTTACTATGATGACGACTGGACACGCTAAAATAAAGAACACTGTAGATAATTGCTGCCTCATTGACCACCGCATGTTATGTAAGTTAATTAGAGGGTAAACAGGTTTGCAAAATGATATTGCCACGACAGATCAGGACGCGAGTTCAGCATCCTGAGAATAAAGATAAATCGCCTATAATTTGGATCGTACCACCCTCAAAGGACCTTCACATGCCGTTGTATACAATATGATGCTTAAATACCGTATTAAAATGCAGTTACAAAACCTATTAAATAAGAATATAGTTCAATTTCATCTTGCATTTAAATGGTCTGGCGATATGTGATAGAAATACAATAATTTGTTTCCATAACTACTGCCATTAACGATATCAATAATTGTCACTGGCGTGACATATGTATTTTAGCATTAAATAGATTTAGATGTCACAAATATGTCATAACATTGAATTAATGCTATCCTGTGTTATCATAACATAGCGTCATGTAAATTCCGGTACTATTTTTAGACTAGGTTATCAATTTTTGTTAATAACCTCTCGTGCAGTTTCCGCTTGCATGTTAACGTTGCATGTTGTTGAAACCTGTGGGAAATCTCTTAGTCAATCAAAGAAGAGGGATTTGTTCAGTCACGCATATAACAAAAAATCATTCTTTTTTCACTTTCTGTGTATAGGTTACTGGAATGGAAGTTGGAGTAAATACACACATATTGAGCAAGCAGACAAGGAAGGAGCATCAACACCAGGGACTCCGTAGCTTCTATTCGCTTTGCCGAAAGATAGAACTGTGTCTGTGTACAGTGTCTTTGGTATTTTTGACTCTGTGTTAAAAAAGGAAACACTCTTTTGTATAAGTTAATACACATTTATTGCTTATTATCTTTGACCGGAACCTAGCAGGAAATTCTTACCTATTGTATATCATGTAATCTAAACAACTAATATTTTGTACCGCAATTGTATATTTACACATGTGTACTCATCACTTGTACTGTATGTATATTTACACATGTGTACTCATCACTTGTACTGTAGGTATATTTACACATGTGTACTCATCACTTGTACTGTAGGTATATTTACACATGTGCACTCATCACTTGTATTGTAGGTATATTTACACATGTGCACTCTCCACTTGTACTGTATGTATATTTACACATGTGCACTCTCCACTTGTACTGTATGTATATTTACACATGTGCACTCTCCACTTGTACTGTATGTATATTTACACATGTGCACTCATCACTTGTACTATATATTTACACATGTGCACTCTCCACTTGTAATGTATGTATATTTACACATGTGTACTCATCACTTGTACTGTATGTATATTTACACATGTGCACTCTCCACTTGTACTGTATGTATAATTACACATGTGCACTCTCCACTTGTACTGTATGTATATTTACACATGTGCACTCATCACTTGTACTGTATGTATAATTACATATGTGCACTCATCACTTGTACTGTATGTATATTTACACATGTGCACTCTCCACTTGTACTGTATGTATATTTACATATGTGCACTCATCACTTGTACTGTATGTATATTTACACATGTGCACTCATCACTTGTACTGTATGTATATTTACACATGTGCACTCTCCACTTGTACTGTATGTATATTTACACATGTGTACTCATCACTTGTACTGTATGTATATTTACACATGTGCACTCATCACTTGTACTGTATGTATATTTACACATGTGCACTCTCCACTTGTACTGTATGTATATTTACACATGTGCACTCTCCACTTGTACTGTATGTATATTTACACATGTGCACTCATCATTTGTATTGTATAGCTAATGTAATTGCTATTGTCTATCTCTGTATATTATTCTTTGTAAAGATGTTGTAATTATAATTATAAATCAAAAACAATGAACACATGACTACTGGATCAACTAAAGATTGCGTTGTTTTAGAAGTTAAGTAAATGTTACCTCAAGGTCAATTTTATTGGTGAGATAAGTGGAAATGCTTTAGTAGTAAAATTTTAAGTTTAGTATTTTTGAAACTCTGTTAAGTATCTTGATGAAACTGAGCAGTGCATAGAGGTCAGGTCACTGTGACCTTCATCTCAAGGTCAAAGTCAGTTAAGGCCACAATTTTTGTCATAATATTTCCCAACCTTGAACTAGAACCCCTTTAAATATCTTGCTTAAACTTTATATAAACATGTATAGAATACATAAAACCAACAAGCTTTGATCATTTATCAGAATATAAGATTATGGGTCAGATATAAATATGTTGATCACCTCACTGGCTAATATTGTATAATTTGTCTTAGTAAATAAGACGAGATATGTTATTGATATTGTTTGCAATTTTTATACTTACCCAAATGAGGAAATAAATCAATTCTATGCTTATTCTCTACCATTGCAAATAATATATAATTTTATATGAAATTAAAGTACAGTATTAAAACCTCTACTTTTTCAATACAACATTTTATTGGTATCGAGTTAGCTGTATAGCATTGGACATGTGTTATGAAACCAGTGTGGCATTAGTTTGGAATTGTGCATGAGTTATGCAAGAAGTACATGTACAGAGTTACTACACTGAATTCTAATCAAGGTGTATAGTATTAGCAAAGAAATAGACTTTAGATATTGAAGGAGGATTCGATTAGAAGAGCAATTTGCATGTTGAAGGGAGAATCAGTACTTAAGTCACCTACAAATCACAAATGAAATATAGAAGTGAAGTAGTGAAAGAAATGAAAAAGTTTTAAAAAGGCTTGACAGGTCTTTGAATGTAAACGTCAAATATTGTATATGGCCAGTTGCTGAGATAGGATGGGGAGGTCAAAGTACAGTTCCATACAATACCTGTCTGGTTTTATGTAAATGTCAAGTATAACAAAGAATTATTTCCATGGTATACAAATTAGGATACATCATTATTATTTGGTATGATATTAATGACATAATGTGGAATTAAAGAATAAAGTATTAGTAAAGTAACATTGACAAAATCTCTTCCATTCGGCCAGCCCCTGGAACACCAAACAAAATAACTTTGAAGAAACATCGGAATTAATATTAGTAAATACATAACTGCTTGGTCTCAACATCTGTTGGTAATGTACCAGTTATTAATCAGACATAACGGTAGGAAAATAATCTCTATTTTAGGTGAAACTGATGCATATATACCAAACTCAAAAACTGTATTAATCAAAAGGTTCAAATAAATATCTAAGCACATTCAGCGAGTATTAAGGAATGTCATGCTATATATAGGGAGTGTATATTATATTACGTATGACAAATTTGAAAATTTTTTCCACAAAGGTGAAGTAGTAAAGGAGGTAGGTATGATGATCTCAGAATGGTATTTGTCTCACCAAAACAGGATGGGATGGGTTTATATTTATATGAATGTCCATGGGTGGAAGTAAATTTGTCACACCGTTCCCGGCACCGATACCCGTACCAGGAAATTAATAAATAATGATTATATCGAGAACTGTGTAACCTTAGCTAAAATGAAAGTCGAACGAGTCACATTTGAAAATACGCAACTAAGTCTACAATCCATATCGAACTTCCGGAATTCAGCTACTTATAAGATTCTTTATTTTCTAACACAAACGGGACATTTTAAAACTCTGAAAAATAAAATACGAAAGTCCGAGAACTGCCGAAGATCGCGGACTATAGTCCATAATATCATCACAAGAAATACCTTAGCAAAGTTAATTCAATGGAGCTTGCATACATGTGACGCAATATTATTATAACGTTGATAAAACTTGGCAATCTTCTAACGAGCTTGATAATAAATAAGTTCTATTGTTTCGTGTTTCGTTAAATCTACCTTCTAAAGATGGGAACGGTATGCAGACTTACTGCATTTAGGCAAGTGCAACACAATGTAAATATATAGACGTTATTCGATCAAATATAATAAATGGTGTACGCTTTGTAACATGTATATATATTATACGTACTACATATACAGAGCAAGTACGGCTATGATTAGCACCAGCCATAACGGGACAGTGAATCCTAGTACATCCATGTTGTCTCGCCTTCAATATCCTGGGCCAGGGTCTATTGTATCCAGGCGGACTTCAAGGGGAGTTACTTTTTATATAGGGTACGTTATCAGCACGGCGACACTGAACGCCGAGACAGCGGTCAAAATGCGGAAGCACGATAAGGCAATTACACCACAGCTTGAAATATATCTATCTTACTTACAGGCAGGGACGTATATATCGTTAATATATACGTCCCTGTTACAGGTAATATAAGTAAATCATCTAATCAGTTCAATGTTACACAGAACAATTTATCATATACTTCAAATCTACCAACAAGTAAATATTATAACGTTAATGAAATATCAACACGTCATGCGATCTTCTCACAAACTTATGAGATACATATCTTTTCTATTTTATTTATAATAAGCACCACGCGGATTCTTTTCCGAACGACAAATTCGATGTGCTCATACTCCTCCGATGAAAAAGATCGAGAAATTCGAATGCTCGAGTATTCACTATCGCGGCGGTAAAATCTAGCACGACATGACAGATACATTTGACCTTGACAACAAAGACTAAATACGTGTAATTATAAATCGTTATTTCATGAGATAAGTGATGTAAATGTAACGTCATTTACATCACATTGGTAAATATCAATGTTCACACGTGCTTGTGGACAAGAATGTGCTTTTTATATATTATCAAACAAAGTAAATTAATAGAGAGAGAAGGTGTGACCTATCAAGAGCGGAGCGAATGCACATTAAAATGCTAAGAATAGGATACACAAATCACTAGGAACGACCTCGCGCGGGAAAGCTGGCTATTGGCAAGAGTAGCTGTGCTGATAACACTCTGTGTAGATAACAGCTATATAAAGGGCTGAAAATTGGGTCATTTAGGACGACGGAGTGACAAAATGGAGGTACTGGGAATTACTATTCCGTTATGGCTAGTACTGAGCCTAGCCATGCTGGTTCTGTATACATAGTAAGTATATTACTGATGTCGACACTGTGAGAACTAATATCATTTAAGTCCTTGGTAGCAACGTTAATTATGTGTCACAGTACTGTATATGTCACTGTATCCTATATTTCGCTGTTCTGTATATGTCATTGTACTGTATATGTCATTGTACTGTATATGTCACAGTACTGTATATGTCATTGTACTGTATATGTCATTGTACGATATATGTCACAGTACTGTATATGTCACTGTGCTGTATATGTCATTGTACAGAATATGTCATTGTACTGTATATGTCATATTACTGTATATGTCACAGTACTGTATATGTCACTGTGCTGTATTTGTCATTGTACTGTATATGTCATTGTACTGTATATGTCATTGTACTGTATATGTCATTGTACTGTATATGTCACATTACTGTATATGTCACAGTACTGTATATGTCATTGTACTGTATATGTCATTGTACTGTATATGTCATATTACTGTATATGTCACAGTACTGTATATGTCACTGTGCTGTATTTGTCATTGTACTGTATATGTCATTGTACAGAATATGTCATGGTACTGTATATGTCATTTTACTATATATGTCACACTGTAAGAACTGAAATCATTAAAGTCCTTGGTAGCATATTTAATTATTACATGTTTGATTAATTGTATCTATCAATATTGTACCTATATATGCCTGTCATTAATACTAGTCACAATTGAAAACTGCTACAAGGGTTTATCATTGTAAACCAAAAACATACACTTTTAGTTAGTGTTATCAATGTATTTAATAGGAACACTGGCTCTAAGACATATTGACATATGAATGTTTCATTAATTTATATCAATGTATCTATTGATTACTGTATCATTGTACTGTACTATATATGTCACTGTGCTGTATATGTCACATTACTATAAATGTCACAGTACTGTATATGTCTCTGTACTGTATATGTCACCGTACTGTATATATCACAGTACTGTATATGTCATTGTACTGTATATGTCACTGTGCTGTATATGTCATTGTACAGAATATATCAATGTACTGTATATGTCATATTACTGTATATGTCACAGTACTGTATATGTCTCTGTACTTTATATGTCACAGTACTGTATATGTCTCTGTACTGTATATGTCACAGTACTGTATATGTCACAGTACTGTATATGTCTCTTGTCACAGTACTGTATATGTCACAGTACTGTATATGTCACAGTACTGTATATGTCTCTGTACTGTATATGTCACAGTACTGTATATATCACAGTACTGTATATGTCATTGTACTGTATATGTCACTGTGCTGCATATGTCATTGTACAGAATATATCAATGTACTGTATATGTCATATTACTGTATGTGTCACAGTACTGTATATGTCACTGTATCCTATATTTCGCTGTTCTCTATATGTCATTGTACTGTATATGTCATTGTACTGTATATGTCACAGTACTGTATATGTCATTGTACTGTATATGTCATTGTACTGTATATGTCACAGTACTGTATATATCACAGTCCTGTATATGTCATTGTACTGTATATGTCATTGTACTGTATATGTCACAGCACTGTATATATCACAGTACTGTATATGTCATTGTACTGTATATGTCACTGTGCTGTATATGTCATTGTACAGAATATGTCAATGTACTGTTTATGTCACATTACTGTATGTGTCACAGTACTGTATATGTCACTGTATCCTATATTTCGCTGTTCTGTATATGTCACTGTGCTGTATATGTCACAGTACTGTATATGTCATTTTACTGTATATGTCACTGTGCTGTATATGTCATTGTACAGAATATGTCAATGTACTGTATATGTCACATTACTGTATGTGTCACAGTACTGTATATGTCACTGTATCCTATATTTCGCTGTTCTGTATATGTCATTGTACTGTATATGTCATTGTACTGTATATGTCACAGTACTGTATATGTCATTGTACTGTATATGTCATTGTACGATATATGTCACAGTACTGTATATGTTACTGTGCTGTATATGTCATTGTACAGAATATGTCATTGTACTGTATATGTCATATTACTGTATATGTCACAGTACTGTATATGTCATTGTACTGTATATGTCATTGTACTGTATATGTCATATTACTGTATATGTCACAGTACTGTATATGTCATTGTACTGTATGTGTCACAGTACTGTATATGTCACTGTATGCTATATTTCGCTGTTCTGTATATGTCATTGTACTGTATATGTCATTGTACTGTATATGTCATTGTACGATATATGTCACAGTACTGTATATGTCACTGTGCTGTATATGTCATTGTATGGAATATGTCATTGTACTGTATATGTCACATTACTGTATATGTCACAGTACTATATATGTCACTGTGCTGTATATGTCATTGTACTGTATATGTCATTATATTGTATATGTCACACTGTAAGAACTGATATCATTTAAGTCCTTGGTAGCAACGTTAATTATTACAGGTTTGATCTATTGTCTCTATCATAAGTCCTAGCCTGTCATTAATACTAGTCCGAATTGAAAACTGCTACAAGGGTTTATCATTGTAAACCAAAAACATACACTTTTAGTTAGTGTTAGTATTTAATAGGAACACTGGCTCTAAGACATATTTATGAATGTTTCATTAATTTATCTATTGAATCATTGTACTGTACTATATATGTCACTGTGCTGTATATGTCACATTACTATAAATGTCACAGTACTGTATATGTCTCTGTACTGTATATGTCACCGTACTGTATATATCACAGTACTGTATATGTCATTGTACTGTATATGTCACTGTGCTGTATATGTCATTGTACTGTATATGTCTCTGTACTGTATATGTCACAGTACTGTATATGTCACAGTACTGTATATGTCTCTGTACTTTATATGTCACAGTACTGTATATGTCTCTGTACTGTATATGTCACAGTACTGTATATGTCACAGTACTGTATATGTCTCTTGTCACAGTACTGTATATGTCACTGTACTGTATATGTCATTGTACTGTATATGTCACAGTACTGTATATGTCTCTGTACTGTATATGTCATTGTACGATATATGTCACAGTACTGTATATGTCATTGTACTGTATATGTCACTGTACTGTATATGTCTCTGTACTATATATGTCATTGTATGTCACAGTACTGTATATAATATATCATATGTCACTGTATGTCATGTGTCATATTACTGTATATGTCACAGTACTGTATATGTCACTGTATGTCTATATTATGTCTTACTGTATATGTACAATGTGCTGTATATGTCACTGTACTATATAGTCACAGTAATATATATGTCACAGTACTGTATATGTCATTGTACTGTATATGTCACTGTACTGTATATGTCACCGTACTGTATATGTCACATTACTGTATATGTCACTGTACTGTATATGTCTCTGTACTATATATGTCATTGTACTGTATATGTCTCTATACGATATATGTCATTGTACGATATATGTCACTGTACTGTATATGTCATTGTACTGTATATGTCATTGTACTGTATATGTCACAGTACTGTATATGTCTCTGTATATATATGTCATTGTACAGTATATGTCACAGTACTGTATATGTCATTGTACTGTATATGTCACTGTACTGTATATGTCACAGTACTATATAGGTAACAGAACTGTATATGTCACAATACTGTATATGTCACTGTACTATATATGTCACAGTCCTGTATATGTCACATTACTATATATGTCACAGTACTGTATATGTCTCTGTACTGTATATGTCACGGTACTGTATATGTCACAGTACTGTATATGTCACTGTGCTGTATATGTCATTGTACTGTATATGTCACAGTACTGTATATGTCATTGTACTGTATATATGTCACTGTGCTGTATTTGTCATTGTACTGTATATGTCACAGTACTGTATATATCACAGTACTGTATATGTCATTGTACTGTATATGTCACTGTATTGTACTATATGTCATGTACTGTATATGTCATTGTACTGTATATGTCATTGTACTGTATATGTCACAGTACTGTATATGTCATTGTACTGTATATGTCTGTATATATGTCTCTGTACTATATATGTCATTGTACTGTATATGTCACAGTACTGTATAGTACTGTATATGTCATTGTACTGTATATGTCATTGTACTGTATATGTCATATGTATATGTCAAATTACTGTATATGTCACAGTACTGTATATGTCACCGTACTGTATATGTCACATTACTGTATATGTCACTGTACTGTATATGTCTCTGTACGATATATGTCACTGTACTGTATATGTCATTGTACTGTATATGACATTGTACTGTATATGTCACAGTACTGTATATGTCATTGTACAGAATATATCAATGTACTGTATATGTCACATTACTGTATGTGTCACAGTACTGTATATGTCATTGTACTGTATATATGTCACTGTGCTGTATTTGTCATTGTACTGTATATGTCACAGTACTGTATATGTCATTATACTGTATATGTCACACTGTAAGGACTGATATCATTTAAGTCCTTGGTAGCAACGTTAATTATTACAGGTTTGATCTATTGTCTCTATCATAAGTCCTAGCCTGTCATTAATACTAGTCCGAATTGAAAACTGCTACAAGGGTTTATCATTGTAAACCAAAAACATACACTTTTAGTTAGTGTTAGTATTTAATAGGAACACTGGCTCTAAGACATATTTATGAATGTTTCATTAATTTATCTATTGAATCATTGTACTGTACTATATATGTCACTGTGTTGTATATGTCACATTACTATATATGTCACATTACTGTATATGTCTCTGTACAGTGTATGTCATTGTACTGTTTATGTCACTGTACAGTATATGTCTCTGTACTGTATATGTCATTGTACGATATATGTCACAGTACTCTATATGTCACTGTGCTGTATATGTCATTGTACGGAATATGTCATTGTACTGTATATGTCACATTACTGTATATGTCACAGTACTGTATATGTCACTGTGCTCTATATGTCATTGTACTGTATATGTCATTGTACTGTATATGTCACAGTACTGTATATGTCACAGTACTGTATATGTCTCTGTACTGTAGATGTCATTGTACGATATATGTCACAGTACTGTATATGTCAATGTGCTGTATATGTCATTGTACGATATATGTCACAGTACTGTATATGTCATTGTACTGTATATGTCACTGTACTGTATATGTCACATTACTATATAGGTTACAGTACTGTATATGTCACAGTACTGTATATGTCTCTGTACTATATATGTCATTGTACAGTATATGTCACAGTACTGTATATGTCACTGTACTGTATATATCTCTCTACTATATATGTCATTGTACAGTATATGTCACAGTACTGTATATGTCACAGTACTGTATATGTCACTGTACTGTATATGTCATTGTACTATATATGTCACAGTACTTTATATGTCAATGTTCTGTATATGTCACCGTACTGTATATGTCACAGTACTGTATATGTCACTGTGCTGTATATGTCACATTACTGTATATGTCAATGTGCTGTATATGTCTCTGTACTATATAGGTCACAGTAATATATATGTCACAGTACTGTATATGTCATTGTACTGTATATGTCACTGTACTGTATATGTCTCTGTACTATATAGGTCACAGTACTGTATATGTCATAGTACTGTATATGTCTCTGTACTATATATGTCATTGTACAGTATATGTCACAGTACTGTATATGTCATTGTACTGTATATGTCACTGTACTGTATATGTCTCTGTACTATATAGGTCACAGTACTGTATATGTCACAGTACTGTATATGTCTCTGTACTATATATGTCATTGTACAGTATATGTCACAGTACTGTATATGTCATTGTACTGTATATGTCACTGTACTGTATATGTCTCTGTACTATATAGGTTACAGTACTGTATATGTCACAGTACTGTATATGTCTCTGTACTATATATGTCATTGTACAGTATATGTCACAGTACTGTATATGTCACTGTACTGTATATGTCATTGTACTGTATATGTCATTGTACGATATATGTCACAGTACTGTATATGTCAATGTGCTGTATATGTCATTGTACAGAATATGTCACAGTACTGTATATGTCACTGTGCTGTATATGTCACAGTACTGTATATGTCATTGTACTGTATATGTCACAGTACTGTATATATCACAGTACTGTATATGTCATTGTACTGTATATGTCACTGTACTGTATATGTCATTGTACTGTATATGTCACTGTACTGTATATGTCTCTGTACTATATATGTCATTGTACAGTATATGTCACAGTACTGTATATGTCATTGTACTGTATATGTCACTGTACTGTATATGTCTCTGTACTATATATGTCATTGTACAGTATATGTCACAGTACTGTATATGTCACTGTACTATATATGTCATTGTACTGTATATGTCATTGTACGATATATGTCACAGTACTGTATATGTCAAATTACTGTATATGTCACAGTACTGTATATGTCACCGTACTGTATATGTCACATTACTGTATATGTCACTGTACTGTATATGTCTCTGTACGATATATGTCACTGTACTGTATATGTCATTGTACTGTATATGTCATTGTACTGTATATGTCACAGTACTGTATATGTCACATGTCATTGTACGATATTTGTCACAGTACTGTATATGTCATTGTGCTGTATATGTCATTGTACAGTATATGTCACAGTACTGTATATGTCATTGTACTGTATATGTCAATGTACGATATATGTCACAGTACTGTATATGTCATTGTACTGTATATGTCACAGTACTGTATATGTCACAGTACTGTATATGTCACCGTACTGTATATGTCACAGTACTGTATATGTCACAGTACTGTATATGTCACCGTACTGTATATGTCACATTACTGTATATGTCACAGTACTGTATATGTCATTGTACTTTATATGTCACAGAACTGTATATGTCACTAAACTGTATATGTCTCTGTACTATATATGTCACCGTACTGTATATGTCACAGTACTGTATATGTCTCTGTACTGTATATGTCATTGTACTGTATATGTCACAGTACTGTATATGTCACAGTACTGTATATGTCACCGTACTGTATATGTCACATTACTGTATATGTCACAGTACTGTATATGTCATTGTACTGTATATATATATCATTGTACTGTATAAGTCATTGTACGATATATGTCACAGTACTGTATATGTCAATGTGCTGTATATGTCATTGTACTTTATATGTCACAGAACTGTATATGTACAGTACTGTATATGTCACTAAACTGTATATGTCTCTGTACTATATATGTCACCGTACTGTATATGTCACATTACTGTATATGTCATTGTACGATATATGTCACAGTACTGTATGTGTCACTGTGCTGCATATGTCTCTGTACTATATATGTCATTGTACTGTATATGTCATTGTACGATATATGTCACAGTACTGTATATGTCACTGTGCTGTATATATCTCTGTACTATATATGTCATTGTACTGTATATGTCATTGTACGATATATGTCACAGTACTGTATATGTCACATTACTGTATATGTCACATTACTGTATGTGTCACAGTACTGTATATGTCACATTACTGTATATGTCACATTACTGTATGTGTCACAGGACTGTATATGTCACAGTACTGTATATGTCACATTACTGTATATGTCACATTACTGTATGTGTCACATTACTGTATGTGTCACAGTACTGTATATGTCACAGAACTGTATATGTCACTAAACTGTATATGTCTCTGTACTGTATATGTCACCGTACTGTATATGTCACAGTACTGTATATGTCTCTGTACTGTATATGTCATTGTACTGTATATGTCATTGTACTGTATATGTCACAGTACTGTATATGTCACCGTACTGTATATGTCACATTACTGTATATGTCACAGTACTGTATATGTCATTGTACTGTATATATATATCATTGTACTGTATAAGTCATTGTACGATATATGTCACAGTACTGTATATGTCAATGTGCTGTATATGTCATTGTACTTTATATGTCACAGATGTATATGTACAGTACTGTATATGTCACTAAACTGTATATGTCTCTGTACTATATATGTCACCGTACTGTATATGTCACATTACTGTATATGTCATTGTACGATATATGTCACAGTACTGTATATGTCACTGTGCTGTATATATCTCTGTACTATATATGTCATTGTACTGTATATGTCATTGTACGATATATGTCACATTACTGTATATGTCACATTACTGTATGTGTCACAGTACTGTATATGTCACAGTACTGTATATGTCACATTACTGTATATGTCACATTACTGTATGTGTCACAGGACTGTATATGTCACAGTACTGTATATGTCACATTACTGTATATGTCACATTACTGTATGTGTCACATTACTGTATGTGTCACAGTACTGTATATGTCACAGTACTGTATATGTCACATTACGGTATATGTCACATTACTGTATATGTCACATTACTGTATATGTCAATGTACTGTATATGTCACATTACTGTATATGTCACTGTATCCTATATTTCGCTGTTCTGTATATATCATTGTACTGTATGTGACTATACCCTATATTTGGCTGTTCAGTATATATCATTGTACCGTATGTAACTATACCCTATATTTCGCTGTTTTGTATAAATTATTGTACTGTATGTGAATATACCCTATATTTCGCTGTTCTGTATATATCATTGTACTGTATGTGACTATACCCTATATTTCGCTGTTCTGTATATATCATTGTACTGTATGTGACTATACCCTATATTTCGCTGTTCTGTATATATCATTGTACCGTATGTAACTATACCCTATATTTCGCTGTTCTGTATATATCATTGTACTGTATGTGACTATACCCTATATTTCGTTGTTCTGTATATATCATTGTACTGTATGTGACTATACCCTATATTTCGCTGTTCTGTATATATCATTGTACCGTATGTGACTATACCCTATATTTCGCTGTTCTGTATATATCATTGTACTGTATGTGACTATACCCTATATTTCGCTGTTCTGTATATATCATTGTACTGTATGTGACTATACCCTATATTTCGCTGTTCTATATAAATCACTGTACTGTATATTTCGCTATATTCAATTTTGTTTCAGTATGATGAGTCGGCATCATGGCACCTTTAAGAAGCTCAACATCCCTGGACCTGCACCCTGGCCTATCATCGGAAGTTTGTTAGAGATGAGTAAAATTGTGAGTTGTAATAAATGAAATAATGACACTCTTCAGGCTTAACGTTCATGTTTTAATCTTCATATCGTTTAGAAATATTTCTTGGACATGGCCTAAAGTGTTGAAAACTTGGTCTTGACCTTACGTGTTGAAAACTTGGCCTTGGCATTAAATGTTGAAAACTTGGCCTTGGCCCTAAGTGTTGAAAACTTGGCTATTTCCTTAAGTGTTGAAAACTTGGCCTTAGCCTTAAGTGTTGAAAACTTGACCATGGCCCAAAGTGTTGAAAATTTGGCCTTGGCCTTAAGTGTTGAAAACTTGACCATGGCCCAAAGTGTTGAAAACTTGGCCTTGGTCTTAAGTGTTGAAAACTCGGTCATGGCCTTAAGTGTTGAAAATTTGGCCTTGGCCTAAAATGTTGAAAACTTTGAACCGACTGAAGAAACAAAAAAATGTGTAAGAAATAAAAAAAAAATCTAGATAGGCCGATACATCAGCCCCATTATTCTATTAATTGTATAATTTTCAAATATTGGACGTTAGAACATAGTAATTGTTCTGAAACGTGAACCTATTGAAATGCATTAAAACGTGTCATGTAGGTTATGGCAAATGTTAAATGACGTCATTTTGATCATGTCATAAACCAACACGGTGTGAGTATGAAGGTTTTACAAACTGTTATACCGTAACGGCGTAATGTCGAGGTTTATATCTATCTAGAATTTCTTATTACCAATGTATTCTTTTGTTACAGGGAATACACGAATTTCATCATGATTGCATGAAAAAATATGGAAAGGTTTTCGGGTATGTATTTTAATATTTTTGAAATGAAACAGAGAGTTATTCATAGTTTTCTATAGTATGACTATTCACGAACACTAAAGTGCAGTTCTATATAAAGCCAATACAGTGTATTAACAATGGAACTGAACGTCATTTCATTTTCAGAATCACACCTTTGTTTCATTTTTAATTGAAAAAGATATTAAATTATATCTATTACTTACTGTCCACAAGCAAATCAACAATCGTTATTTACAGTCACACATCAACTAATGACACGTACTGTCCACAACCAAATCACGTTACTTACAGTCACACATCAATGTCACGTACTGTCTACAACCAAATCACGTTACTTACAGTCACACATCAACCAATGGCACGTACTGTCTACAACCAAATCACGTTACTTACAGTCACACATCAACCAATGGCACGTACTGTCTACAACCAAATTACGTTACTTACAGTCACACATCAACCAATGGCACGTACTGTCTACAACCAAATCACGTTACTTACAGTCACACATCAACCAATGGCACGTACTGTCTACAACCAAATTACGTTACTTACAGTCACACATCAACCAATGGCACGTACTGTCTACAACCAAATTACGTTACTTACAGTCACACATCAACCAATGGCACGTACTGTCTACAACCAAATCACGTTACTTACAGTCACACATCAACCAATGGCACGTACTGTCCATCGACATGAGACTTAATTAAGATTAACTCTATCGCTGTTGTCATGCTATTTTTACATGGTTTAACGTGACATTACTTACTGAGATTGAAATGTCGGCTGAAGTGACGCCTATTTATAACTTAGTGTTTGATTCGTGTTCCGACCTTCGGTTTTGATATCATTTCTTTATTTTTCTATAGATTTTATGGAGGACTTTCACCACAAACACTCGTCATTGGTGACAAGGAAATTCTAAGACAAATTCTCGTAAAAGACTTTGCAAATTTTCCGGACCGAATAGTAAGGTTTTAAACAAGAACATTTATATATAATACAATGAATGTGTTACATCGAAGGCGATTACTATAAAACACCTATAATGTTTGTTTAGTTTACTGGGGATGCTAAACACGACTACTATTATTTCCTACTGAAGTACAAACAAGTATGATTATTCTACATGAAACATACTATATGTAATCATTGTATCAACATAACGCTAAATTGTCGATTATGACGCATGAGTAATATTCGTACCTTTATTAATCATGAACCTTTCTTGTATACCAGGTTATGAAAGGTTTAAACGGTGACTTGGAAACTTCTGTTCTAGTCTTAAGTGGGGATCACTGGAAACATGTGCGTAATAAAATAACTCCAGCATTTTCCACTGGGAAACTGAGAAAGGTAAGTCCATGCCTCTCTGTGTCCTGTAACTGTCTTCCTTACTATAAACATGTGTTTTGTTAGATAATTGTTTTGCTATTATTTCGATGACTAAATGCAATAAAGTTGATTGATTTATCGATTGACTGAATTGAATCGATTAACACACAAATACATTGAAAGATTTGTATACACTTGACTATAACTTAAGGACCATCAATTACAGTTTGAAAATTTTAGTCAAAATCGATTATTCATTTGACGAAAATAAACCTTGTGGTACTCCTTCCAGTGTCTCTTTTTGTGTTTGGTGCTGTATGCACCAATGCAATACACCTTCATTATAATAGTAATGCAAGCAATTAAAAGTTCCCGTTACGAAATTTTAACAAAGAGAAATAACTCTGCAATTGAGGGGTTGTGGTCCCTGACTATTGTACACTGCACACCATCTTAGTTTGACCGATGTATATACCAAGTTCATTACCCTACTTTAATTGGAAGGAATGACATGCTCTGGACAAAACAAAGGGCAATAACTCTGTATTTTAGTGGTTGTTGGCCCTTAATTCAGTACACAGCACATTGTCTTATTATGACCATGCATACACCAAGTTTAATTATCCTTGCTGGACTGCGGGCAAAGTTAAGCTCCGGAAAGAAAGGAAGGACGGACAGTGCGGCTGATATATGCTCCCCGAAAATTAAAATTAATACGTCGAAAATCAAAAAATGCTGAAAGGTGGCAAGTTTCTGAAATAGTGCAGAGTAAATGACATACTTGCAAACCGGGCATGTAGCCGAGCGTCCTAGATCAGACAGAACTTGAAAGACACAGAAAGAGTAAAACAACACCTCTTTGTAAACAGGCAAGGCGAGCACCATGTTCCACTGCCAACAGGCTCAGAGGCCAGTAGAACGTCAATGTTAGCGTTAGCTGGCATACCGTCAACAGACGTTTGAATAACAGTCGAATTCACTCTCGCCGACCACTTCAAGTCCTCTAATGACTGAAAGACACAAACATGCAAGACTGTAATAAGCACGTGATTATCAGATAAGGTTTTGGCGAAGTGTCCAATGAAAGTTGCTTTTACTTCGTCCAGAAGACGGCAGGGAACGCGTTTGGAGACTACATTCTGGACACATCATTCCGTGATGGCAGTGTTAACTGTTTGAGGATGCTTCTATCAACCGTGTATAGTTTCGTAATGTGCCTAAAACATTCCTGTATATCCTGTTGTGTTGGTTGTTTTTAAAGATTAAAAACTCTAATAATATATAGGTGGTCCGTAACTGATAACCGAGTGCGTGTATCGTTTTGTATCATTCAAATGGTCTTAGAAATCTTTAGGTCCCTTCAACATTCAAATGTATTATGTACATGTATTATTAATAAGATCTGATTTTACCAGATGTTTCGACTTATGGATCATGCCAGTAATACATTGACGGAATCACTAAGAAGGAAGGTGAGGGACGGAGACGGGGTGACAGAAATGACAGAGTAAATATGAAAGCACGCGTGTATTTAGTTCAGTATGTACTCGTTCGTTGAAAGGTCGTAAAAGTAGAGTAAAACTCATTAGATATTTAACTGTTTATATATTATTAATTATTAATTATTTCTTTATCACAGTTATATCAGACAGTATGTATAACATACATGAAATGTTCGGTAGGCTTTTTTCTATATATACAATTTTCTGTTAATGTCTCCGCAGCAGTTTTTCGTTTGGTCTGATGACATATAAAAAGAAAACACGAATTTATGTAAACTATTGACTAGTTATGTTGATATCATGATAATGTTGCTACACTGGATGATCCGTGGAGTTAGTGCGAAGACTTTTTAGGGGCTTTGTAATAGGTTCGATATAAATGACGTAAAGTCAACATGGAACCAAGTTAAGTATTATCAATTTTAAACATAAAACAAAATGGAGTGGATGTTGTGGAGGGAGTGGAGGGATAGGAGCTGGTAGGTTTTCACTGCTTGATAGGTTATCTACGGAGATTGTGCGTTTGAATTGATTTAGGGTGGTTATCAACAATGCACTGTACGACTGGGCAGTTGTGTGTGATGTAACTGATATTTCAGGTTATTTTCGGCTGGTTGTGGTATAATTTGTATGATTATCTCCCTTGTACGACTGGGAAGTTGTGTGTGATGTAACTGATATTTCAGGTTATTTTCGGATGGTTGTGGTATAATTTGTATGATTATCTCCCTTGTACGACTGGGAAGTTGTGTGTGATGTAACTGATATTTCAGGTTATTTTCGGCTGGTTGTGGTATAATTTGTATGATTATCTCCCTTGTACGACTGGGAAGATGTGTGTGATGTAACTGATATTTCATGGTATTTACGGCTGGTTGTGGTATAATTTGTATGATTGTCTCCCTTGTACGACTGGGAGGTTGTGTGTGATGTAACTGATATTTCAGGGTATTTACGGCTGGTTGTGGTATAATTTGTATGATTATCTCCCTTGTACTACTGGGAAGTTATGTGTGATGTGGCTGATATTTCAGAGTATTTACGGCTGGTTGTGGTATAATTTGTATGATTATCTCCCTTGTACTACTGGGAAAATGTGTGTGATGTCATTTGACACGTGTTTCAGGATATATGGAGCCTATGCTATGGATGTGATATGCTCCACAGCTTTTGGTATTCAGGTGGATTCACAAAACGATCCTAATGACGAATTCGTTGCCAACGCAAAGAAGTTTTTGAATGTGAATTTCTCTTCTCCAATCCTCGTTATTGCAAGTAAGTCACACATGCACGTAGTGTCAAAGGCACGACTAGCACTGCATGTTAGCAATGTATTTCCTTTTGTTTCAACGACCAAATGGAATGCTTTTACCATCTGGATCATTTTATCAATCCACCAACAATTGATCAATTTTCGGGGTAGCATATAGTCGTCGCTTTCTCCGTCCCTCCGTCCGTCCGTCCGTCCGTCCGTCCTCCGAAGACAATGTGTAGTGTACCAGGGCCCTTGATACTTCAACTACAGAATCATTACCCTTTGTTATAAAAATCTTGTCCAGATCATATCTTTGCTTGTATTAAAACTGGGATAAAGAAATTTGTTTATGCATTGATTATGCTAAGACGATGTGCAGCATATCAACTGCATGACCAGCTACACCTTCGTTAAAGAGTTATTGCCCTGTATACATGATCATACAAAGTCAATGTGCAGTATAACAAAGTCAGGACCCATCATCCCTCAGTTAAAGAGTTATTGCGATTTGTTAAATGTTTATATTCAGATAACTTTGCTTTCATATAAACTAGGATAAATACTTATTTCAGAATTATTGAAATAAAGTCGTTTTCGGGAAGCATTCACCAGTTTCACTGATAATCTTGTTTAACAAGATCATTCTTGTTTTCTTTTGTTTTGTTTTAGTGTTTTTCCCCCATCTGAAATTCTTGGTACGTCTCTTGGGATGGTCATTTGCTGACAAAGACGTTCAAGCGTTTTTCCGGAAAGTAACAACCAAACTTCTTGGCGAACGTGTTGCAGGGAATAAGGTTATATCCGTGTATGATTAGACAATTTGCCACTATGAAAATGGCGCGAATTACCGGCTGTCTCTCAGTAAAAATTCCAAATATCCGTTTTGATGACGTCATTGTGATATAATGGTTACGCAGTCTGGAATTCTCGGCTAGGAGATCAGGCACCGTAAATCGTTAGACACGGACAATGCAAGAGTCTTCCTTCATTGATTATGTTACAACGTCTAATATATATCTACATGAATATTATTTGTTTGAGTTGATAATCATATACAGCATTCAAGGAAAAATACAACTGACAAATTCACAAGACAGGAATTTATCGAGCGATGCAGCTTGATGAAGGTTATGGGGACGTTTTACAGTTTACAAAAATATTCCATTTCCGTATGCAATTTGATGCCCATTGGTACAACAGAAGTATAGACGTTTCATGACGCAATGGAACAGTCTAGCTTTAATTATGGCGCTGCTGCATCTTTGTTTTCCTTAGTCGCCTTCTAGGCTTCAAAATTTTAGCATCACTGACGAGTCCTAGAAGAACGAAACAGCTGTATGATGTAGTTTAATTAATTGTTTGACTCTACTGTATCACTGACGAGTCCTAGAGGAACGAAACAGCTGTATGATGTAGTTTAATTCATTGTTTGACTTTACTGTATCACTGACGAGTCCTAGAGGAACGAAACAGCTGTATGATGTAGTTTAATTCATTGTTTGACTTTACTGTATCACTGACGAGTCCTAGAGGAACGAAACAGCTGTATGATGTAGTTTAATTCATTGTTTGACTTTACTGTATCACTGACGAGTCCTAGAGGAACGAAACAGCTGTATGATGTAGTTTAATTCATTGTTTGACTTTACTGTATCACTGACGAGTCCTAGAGGAACGAAACAGCTGTATGATGTAGTTTAATTAATTGTTTGACTTTACTGTATCACTGACGAGTCCTAGAGGAACGAAACAGCTGTATGATGTAGTTTAATTCAATGTTTGGTTCTACTGTATCTCACTCTAAATTATGAAAAGTTGCTCTTCACTTGTGTGTCTTTTTTCACAATCTTTAAAACTAATCGGCTACTTAGGGAAGATAAAAAGGGATAATGATACATGTCACAAGAAGAGGATAAGATTGAATTGATTTTGTTTGTGATTTTCAGGAACATGCAGATTTTCTTCAGTTGATGAAAAATGTACAGCAGGACCACGACGATTCTGATGAAGAAGAGGATAACGACAATGAGAAAAGTAGTATTCAAAGACCGTCGTCTTTGAACAGAAAAGGTAATATCATTTGATCTATTCAGTATCACTAATAACCGATAAAATGTTTCGCCACGCTCTAATTGACAGAAAAGATGCAGCCCTTTGACCATATATAAATGTTAATACATAATGTTGCTTAATGAATAAAATAACCGCATTATCAGTCATATCTTTGTATTATTTTTTTTTTGTAATCAAGGTAAAAATCCCTCTCAGGTGCTAGTTTGTGTTTTCGCAATACTCCATTTGTTGCTGGTTTCCATCAGATCAAGGACATCATGCCTAATTATGCATGTACAGGTTTTCGTACTTGTTTCCTTGGTTTTGAACAGCTTATCACAGCTCACATAACGATGACAATCATCAGGATTATCATAGGAATAATTTTCATTTAAAGCATCAATGTTCATTGTTTATTCTATTGAAAAACAGGTATCTCATTTGATGAAATCCTTGGAAATGCAGAAATATTTTTCTTTGCTGGTTACGAGACCACTTCAATAACACTAACAATGGCTTCATACTACCTCGCCTTGTACCCAGAGTACCAGGACAAGCTCCGTCAGGAACTGGCCGACAAGATTGGCTCGGTATGACGATGCTTGACAAAGCGAGTCTCACCGGTTAAGACGTTTTCAATGTATTTAAGACTTTATACTTTAAGTATTTATAGATCTCTTATACATGACATGTGTGCAATGATGTTATATTGAGATTAAATAATAAAAAAATATTTTATCACGGATGTCGGGTGTAAAATACTATCATCATGACGTTTAAATAGCTTGTCGTCTCATTTTCTATTTGAAATTATTTGTTGTTTTTCATGATGTCTAATCAGATGGTATGGTTGAATTGCTTGACTTTCATTTTTACAGAATCCAATTACATATGAAAACATATGTCAGGTCGAATACTTAGAGATGATTTTCAACGAAACGCTCCGGATCCATCCGCCAGCTGCAAAGTAAGATATCTCTGAATGTATGTTGGTAGTCCATTCAGTCTTAATATAGGTGAATTACAGCAATGATGATTCTCGCGGTTTTACCGAAGCTTGAAACAAAATGGATGTATTTTTCTCATAAGTCATGCAACTCCCTATTACTTCTTTTACTAATTCAATTTAAGAAGTACATTTTTGGAACTATTTTCACGATTTCATTTTATCCTTGAAAAAGTGAAACATACAAATCTTCGAAATTGACTATATTTTCCATAAACAGTGTCCAGAGCTAATTCAATCTGTAAGTGGAACATTTTCACTATATTAGCCAAACGAATATAAATGGCGGGAAACCATGTGACTAAAGTGTCGTAAATAATATTTAGGGGACATTAGCAGGAGTTACATGATACAGACAGCGACATTTGAAACAAGCGTAGACAGAGATTAACAAAAATGGCCTATATATTACAGCACAGATAGAGTATGTGTGAAAGAAACAGTGATCAACGGTGTCCGGATTCCGGCAGGCATGCATGTTCATATTCCAATATACTGCGTTCATCACGATCCCGACAACTGGAAAGATCCGGAAAAATTCATCCCGGAAAGGTGACTCCTTCACTACTTATCTATATTTCTATCTGTAACCAAAAAGTAAGCTTCTATGAATACATTGAAAGGGGACACTTCCATGAATCGTTGAAAGATAAACCTTTTATGATTACATTGAAAGATAAACCTTTCATAAATACATTGAAAAAGTAACATTCCATGAATACATTGAAAAAGTAACCTTTCATAAATACATTGAAAAAGTACATTTCATAAATACATTGAAAAAGTAACCTTTTATGAATACATTGAAAAAGTAACCTTTTATGAATACGTTGAAAAAGTAGCCGTTCATGAATACATTGAAAAAGTACATTTCATAAATACATTGAAAAAGTAACCTTTTATGAATACATTGAAAAAGTAATCTTTTATGAATACGTTGAAGTAGTAACCTTCCATGAATAAAAACCTTAGACGTCCATCATAAATACCTAAAGTAACAATAATGACACACATAAGGACAAATTGTTTAGTTGAGGTTGGTAGTACAAAACAACTCTCCAGAATTAATACCTTCTTTTCAGGGAATACCAAATTGAGATAATTGTAACTAACGTAAACAATGAATCAAGAGAATGCATGTTAGGTTCCTTGTGGTTGTACTTCAGTCGATTCCTTTAGCTCACGTTGATTATGATCAGTAGAAAGCCATCAAGTGCAATGAATAATGACATGACTACATGCTGTGTCAGTTATGTTCATATAACGTTGTAGATTTGCCGATAATTATGACCCAATGACCTTCCTCCCGTTCGGGTATGGACCCAGGAACTGTGTTGGAATGAGACTTGCACAGCTGGAGATGAAAATATCACTAGCGAAAATCGTTAGTCATTTCAGGATTTCCGTTTGTGGTGAAACACAGGTGACTATTTCATTTTTAAATCAACACTTGTAGAGTCTGAGTTTGATGAAGCGATGACATTTAATGAATAGGTTAAGACAAAACTTGTTTTTTGATTGTTCAAAAACGGATTTTATTTATTTCAATATCTTCATTAATCAGCTTAATCAGTAATGATATATATCACACACAGATATGGCGTAACGTTTTGTTTCTTTTTGTTGATAATAATTTGATATAAATTACGCTCTACTTAAATTATCTCGTAGGTCATTTTAACATATTATCATTTTCATTTGTTTAGATTCCTCCTGAAGTTGAAAAGCTTGGGCTGTTGAAAGTTAAATCTCTTAAACTTAAACTGGAGGAGATCTGATCTTCATCAGGGTCGTCTCAAACGGGACAGATTTGAAAACAAACAAGAACAAAAAAGAAGACACGAACCAGAACATCGATGATACTTGGACTGACATAGGATTTAAGAGTGAATTTGTATGTTTATAAGAACTATAATTATATCGTTTTATTACTGTTATGATATGAACACGTCCTTACCATATATGGATAGGTTTATCGACAATGCCAGTGTGATTCTGTCTATTACTGTTATGATATGAACACGTCTTTACCATATATGGATAGGTATATCGACAATGCCAGCTTGATTCTATCTATTACTGTTATGATATGAACACGTCCTTACCATATATGGATAGGTTTATCGACAATGCCAGTGTGATTCTGTCTATTACTGTTATGATATGAACACGTCTTTACCATATATGGATAGGTATATCGACAATGCCAGCTTGATTCTATCTATTACTGTTATGATATGAACACGTCTTTGCCATATATGGATAGGTATAGCGACAATGCCAGCTTGATTTTATCAATTACTGTTATGATATGAACACGTCTTTACCATATATGGATAGGTATAGCGACAATGCCAGCTTGATTTTATCAATTACTGTTATGATATGAACACGTCTTTACCATATATGGATAGGTATAGCGACAATGCCAGCTTGATTTTATCAATTACTGTTATGATATGAACACGTCTTTACCATATATGGATATGTATATCGACAATGCCAGTGTGACTATTTATCTATTGTGAAGTATTGTCCATATAATCAAACATAATAAAATGTAATCGGCACATAAATAAACATATATATATACATGGATGACTACCACATTTTAGCACGTGTGTTGTTTTAATCATTATAAAAAGTAAATCTTGAACTCTTTATCATTCTCAAGACATAACCTCTGTCCATGTATCCATCATGTGTCATCACCAAGAACAATATTCGTATGATAATTCAATCAAATTAAGTAAAATAAACCAACAAAAATAAAAATGACGCAATAGTTGCAAAAATGCCTTTGAGAAAACTGTGTCATTATAATTTATTACCAATTTTAAGAAATGAATTCTGTTGACTGCGATCAAGTTCAAAAAGCACAAAACTACAAATTTCAATAACACTTCCAAAATACTGAAGGAAAATCCATTTAGGAGAACGTGATTTCATGGTTATAAAACCACTACTAGGGAGGAGGATCTCCAGACAAGATGAAAATGTTGAAAACACACGTTCTTAGAATTGTCCAATTAAAATGCTCCACAGAAAACCATGATTTTCTGGTGATAAAGCCATTATTAGCTGGATCAGAAATTTTGAAATATTGTTATAGATACACGAAATGCACGTGAATTACAGGTATACAGACATTTATCTGACATTCCAAAGAAAATAAATATTGATTTTGAACTTCACCCTCGGAAAACGTTTTTACTCTTTTAGCACTCTCTCGAACTCAATATACAAAGTAACTAATGATGTTATAAATTACTAGAACAAAATAGTGTACTTCCAGAATATTTGACAACGATTTACGCTGAACCCCATCTGAACGCAAGTATATTATCACGTGATAATTTTTAGTTGTGACCTTCTGTTTACTACTGTTAATATCAATGTTATAAAGTTGTGAGCGCAAATGATGAAATAGCGTGTTATTTGTTCACTCACGACACTGTTCACACCGACACATGCGCAATGCGTAAAAACGTGAGTTCTTCACGTGCAATCACAGGTGTTGCCACTACAGATGAGCTTTCACCGAGACGTGTCCTTCATAAAGTGGTCCGTCCCAAAAACATCAGTGAATAATGCTCATGAAACACAATTGCAGAGAGGAATGCCATTAAGAAGTTTGGAGGCGGGTACCGCCACTATTGTAGCCAAGCGCATGGGATATCATGTTAGCATTATCACCAGACTTGCTCCAACATACGGGATCATCTGTTTCTGATCGTCCCCGGAAGCTGAGACTAAGAGTGACAACTCGGGCCCAAGATCGCTATATCCGGGTAACTCTCTTTTAACTCAGAGTTTGAAAACACCCAGTGTCCGCCGGGACCGTCCGGAGTCGCCTACGTGAACATGGCATTAACTGCCGACGTCCTTACGTAGGGCTTATTCTCACTCAACGCCATCGACAGCAATGTCTTCAGTGGGCAAGTCATCATCAACGATGACGTCTTGTTGACTAGCGACGATTTCTCTTCTTAGACAACGTCCGTCGTCGCTTGAGTATCTATGGGTTTCCTTGCACAAAATAATGCAAATGCCCTCCCTTTGCCATCTCTTTCATGGAATGAAATTGGGAGAAGAATTGCTGCTGGTTGAGCTCCGTTGACGTTGGCAAAGCTGGAACAGAGACTCCTCCGGGAATGGAACAATTTGCCCCAAGTATTCTTCCAGACTCTCAATAATTCTATGAGACGACGTGTGAGAGCGTGGATCTCTTGCATAAACATATTTTTAATCAAAAACTACATTTGAATGTCAAAAGAATGGTCAGAGGTTTTTTTGGGCGAACGAGAAGTAACTGCTAAGGTATCACTTCATTTACGATAATATTATATATATATACAAGTACCTTGGAAAATATTATGCGTGTTATGTGCTCATTAACATTGCTACGAATTATAGAGTTAAACAGCAAGTGTTTTAAACTTAAATGATAAAGAAAGCATGCAATGACACAGGCAGATATCATATCACAGACTGTTATCAGGACTGTTTACTTTCATTCCGCGTATGCGCAGGAATACACATACGGCGTTCTATATACTGACATTCGGTCTGAACTCCATGACAGGACGAGTCTGTATACCGATCGCATAAATCAACATGGAGGTGCTTGGATTTAGTGTCCCGTTATGGCTGGTGTTGATCGTAGCCGTACTGGCTCTGTATACATAGTAAGTATAAATGTACCTACTGTACATAACAAAGCGTCAAGTAAATGAAGAACTGTACATAACATGGCGTCAGGTAAATGGAGGACTGTACATAACATGGCGTCAGGTAAATGAAGAACTGTACATAACATGGCGTCAGGTAAATGGAGGACTGTACATAACATGGCGTCAGGTAAATGAAGAACTGTACATAACATAGCGTCAAGTAAATGAAGAACTGTACATAACATGGCGTCAGGTAAATGAAGAACTGTACATAACATGGCGTCAGGTAAATGAAGAACTGTACATAACATGGCGTCAGGTAAATGAAGAACTGTACATAACACAGCGTCAGGTAAATGAAGAACTGTACATAACACGGCGTCAGGTAAATGAAGAACTGTACATAACATAGCGTCAAGTAAATGAAGAACTGTACATAACATGGCGTCAAGTAAATGAAGAACTGTACATAACATGACGTCAGGTAAATGAAGAACTGTACATAACATAGCGTCAAGTAAATGAAGAACTGTACATAACACAGCGCCAGGTTAATGATGAACTGTACATAACAAAGCGTCAGGTAAATGAAGAACTGTACATAACATAGCGTCAGGTAAATAAAGAACTGTACATAACATGGCGTCATGTAAATGAAGAACTGTACATAACATAGCGTCAGGTAAATAAAGAACTGTACATAACATGGCGTCATGTAAATGAAGAGCTGTACATAACACAGCGTCAGGTAAATGAAGAACTGTACATAGTAAAGTGTCAGGTAAATGGAGAACTGTACATAACATGGCGTCAGGTAAATGAGGAACTGTACATAACAAAGCGTCAAGTAAGTAAATGAAGAACTGTACATAACATAGCGTCAGGTAAATGAAGAACTGTACATAACATGGCGTCAGGTAAATGAATAACTGTACATAACATGGCGTCAGGTAAATGAATAACTGTACATAACATGGCGTCAAGTAATTGAAGAACTGTACCTAACATGGCGTCAGGTAAATGAAGAGATGAAAATGAGTTGAATTATACCGACTTTGATGTAAGTAAAACAGTTAAAGATAACCAAGCACAACAAGGCTGCTTTTCGTCTATGAAAATGACCTGCGGTAAGGGTCAAAATAGGACACCTTTGCTTGATACATATTACATGTACATCTACTGGAATAGGAATAGGTTTTGAGTTATCGATCCCATATACAAACTATCTTAGGTCAAAGGTCAATCAGCATTTTTACCCGTAGCATTGTTTAATGTTTTGTCAAACAGACCAAAATATTCAATGGAACTACTTTGAATTGATGAACCAAATTGAAATTGAAGATTATTTAAGGAGAAAAGTGATGTTTTTTAAACAATGTATCTATCAGCCAAGGTTTTCATCTTATAAAATTATGACTAGTTCCAGCTTTAAAAACCTTGTGTGGCATCATTTAGATATTATTTTCCTGTCTAAATAAATCTACATTTGCATTACAAGTCATATTTACTGTTTTGCTGTTTACATGATAAAAACCAGAGTTCCAGACAGTCTTGTATTGTTGATCAGACTAAGATTTGGATTTTTCTGAAATTTTCAACAATGTGATCAGGTCAATTAAGGAGATGTAACAAAACAAGATTTTCAAGATGGCAGCCATGATGGTCGTCTTCCTGTGTAAGAGTTTCCTTGGAGACCAACGAGGGGGCGTGGCATGCTGAGGTTCTATCGTCTTTGTACAGTATTATTATTAAAGAAGAAGAAATGACAGTCCAATATTGTTAACAGACGGGTGACGGAGGGACGGACTGATAAACGGTAGACAGACGGAGGGACGGACTGATAGTCGGCAGACACACGGAAGGACGGACTGATAATCGGTAGACAGACGGAGGGACGGACTGATAGTCGGCAGGCACACGAAAGGACGGACTGATAATCGGTAGACAGACGGAGGGGCGGACTGGTAGTCGGTAGACAGACGGAGGGACGGACTGATAATCGGTAGACACACGGAAGGACGGACTGATAATCGGTAGACAGACGGAGGGGCGGACTGGTAGTCGGTAGACAGACGGAGGGACGAACAGATCGTCGGTAGACAGACGGAGGGACGGACTGATAATCGGTAGACACACGGAAGGACGTACTGGTAGTCGGTAGACAGACGGAGGGGCGGACTGATAGTCGGTAGGCAGACGGAGGGACGGAATGATCGTCGGTAGAGAGTATACTGTGACATAAGCTCTACCGGCCTTTGAATGATATATCTAAACAATATCGGACTGATGTGATTGTTAAGTCACGTGGCCTCTAGTTATAACATGGTCCAATAAAACCAGCATTTTTGTACATTTTCACTCGTGTTAGTATCATAACATAGCCACCTCAATGATTTGCATTTTCAAGCTTAAGGTATGGGAAAGCTCTCTTTCAGGTATAAACCAGTAAACTGCATGTGTATTGATAGTTTGATAGGCGGAAGATAGTTGTGTAACTGTGTGATTCATCATTGCATATAAGGGAAGGTTACGTTTTAACATATGATCTATCATTATGTAGTACTTTTTTGTCTTAAAATTTTAATTGTTTTACTATCTTTATCAATTTGCAAAGAAGTTTAACAAGACAAATGTCGATATGTCGAGTCTGACACAAAAGTGTGTTAGTCACGTTTTGGAGAACTCATCATTATACAGCCAAACATGCTGATATATGTTGGGTGTGATAACATATTACATACTGTCTACTGATATAAGCTTGGTCATGAGATGAACAGTTAACAAACGGAAGTCTCACAGATCGTAAAATTGGCCTAAAGTTTTCCTTTCCCCGCGCATGCTCTGAACCTCTTACAAACAAAAAATAACAGTTTGTAATGGATATTCATTTTACTTTAAACTTTGAGTATGATAAATAAAATGAATAAGGCTTTTCTAAAAATCATAAAATTACCAAGCAAGGGGGCTAAAATGTCTCTTAATACTACAAGGTTCTTGTATTGTGTTTCTTTCTACTAATACGTATTTAATATTTATCTGTATCCTATCATACCTTATATGATGGGAGGGTATAGATGGACCTGACAACAAGGACAAACCTTAAACCTTTATTTTAAAGGAGTCGTTACCATGGCTACAAAGACAAATATATGCCTTTATTTATAAATGAGTCGTCACTATGGCAACAAGGATAAATATATATCTTTATTTCAGTATGAACCTTCATCGTGGTAACAAGCGTATGTTTCGTCTTTATTTCAGTTTCAGTTGAGTCGTCACCATGGTAACAGTGATATTTTTCCTACCTGCATTTCACTATGTTGAGTCGTCACCATGGTAACAGTGATATATTTCATACCTTTATTTCAGTATGTTGAGTCGTCACCATGGTAACAGTGATATTTTTCCTACCTGCATTTTGCTATGTTGAGTCGTCACCATGGTAACACTGATATATTTCATACCTTTATTTCAGTATGATGAGTCGTCACCATGGTACCTTTAAGAAGCTAGGTATCCCAGGTCCTGCACCATGGCCTATCATTGGTAGTCTTATAGAGATCAACAGTGGGGTGAGTGATGTTTATTAAATGGAACTGTTCATTATTTTGAAAATAGAATTTTAAACTCTGATTTAAACACAGATTATTTCATATTTATTTTGTCGTGCTCAACATTGTATTTAATGTTCGAAAGGCAACAAGTGCGTTCTTTTATTGTCACTAATTCAGATACGTTACGTTGTAATTTACAAGGTTTATTTCACCACGAACAAATCGTATGTCTGTGTTGCTCAGAAACCTCTTGCAAACCTGTGCGATCTGTGTTGTAGGGTTTCCAGAAGTTTCAGATGGATTGTATGAAAAAGTACGGAAAAGTTTACGGGTATGTATACAACACGAGTGACCCTATACCCCAGGGCTTGTTATCGATATTACAAATTACATACTAGATAGAGGTCAAATGTTGGTGGTTGATACTCGTTAGTATACCTGGTGGTTGATACTCGTTAGTATACCTGGTGGTACCTGATTGTTGTTGGTGGTTACTTTGTTCCTTGACACTATTTAGTTTGGATTGATCAAGGTTTACATCGGCAGTTTGGGCGGGGTGAGGGGTCAGTGGGGGGTTAGGGTAAGTTGGCGTCGATAAAGCAGAAGACGTTTACCCTTCCGGAACACTTTTCTACTTCGTCATGGGTCTCTGAGTAAATCTTTCTTTGTTCATTTTTAACCCTAGTTTCATCGATTTTTTTTGTTGGAATCATAAATTTGAATTATGATTCTGTTAAGATGTCGGTATTGTGTTGCTGTTTTTGTTCAGTTATCAATGATTTATGCAATTTGATTATTTTTCAATCTTATTTCTAACAGGGAAATATTATATAGTTATTTTTTATTCCGTTTGTAGGTTCTATGGCGGATTGTCACCTTTAACACTTGAAGTTGGAGACAAGGATATGCTAAGGCAGATTCTTGTAAAAGAATTCGCTAACTTTTCGGATCGAATAGTAAGATGATATAGTGAAACCAATAAGCGCGGTAATCACTGTACATTTAATATATGTCTTTCTTTACCGCCTGCTAATTGTTTGTTTCCTAACTTGATAATTTCGACTTTTACAAGTTTCTGCTGTTGATATATAGGGATGAGATTGCCAAAGAATGTATGATGTATGGAACATTTTGTCAGCTAATTGTATCTTTAAATAATGTTACAACACGTGTCAGTTACGTTATATACTAAAGATATTTTTGACGGATGTTATAATTAACAGCAGGTGAGTTGTCGGTTGAAAGAAGAAAGATGATCATATTTCATTTCACCGAGCCTCCGTAAGAATGTAAGATTCTATGTATGGCATGGTTTGGATAGATCTACTGCTGGAAACATGAGTGATATATCTAATAAGACTAGAGCAAAATCTTAAGTAGCAAAATTCTTCCTCTATATCTTCTTTGAAATGATAATGCACAAATCCTATGACGTCAAAATGGAAATCACCTAAACCTTCAGCTAATCACAGCACTTATCCAGTGATAATACATATGTATGATAACAAAACTCTATGTTGTTAGTGTTATAATGCTAATGACACAGCAGCTTTAATATATCTTGTTTACTAGGTATTTAAAGGATTCAATGGGGACGCTGACGCTGCTATAAATAACCTCAGTGGGGATCATTGGAAACACGTGCGCAGCAAGATCACCCCTGCATTTTCTACTGGGAAATTACGTAAAGTAAGTACTTAATATCAATGTCAAGAAATATACATTTTTTATTTCGATGTAGACAACAATCTAAGGTTATATATATATATATCGTATATACGTGTACGTAAGAATAGAATTCCTCGTTCTTGAACACATCACTTTAAAGCAGACATGTTTATTTACGATATCCTGATTTGTCATGCAGGACTTATCCACGATGTTGATTTGACCTGAATGTTCCCAATCTGAGATACTGTTTCATAAATCCTCTAAATGCTTGCTTACAAAGCTCCTATTACACTAGTCATAATGTCTCGTCAAAAACATATATAACATTGTATGCTGCCCTTTAATGTTTAAGATACAAACATTATTTCATTATTCAGAAGAGCTAGCGAAACAAATATGGAATATTTAGCATACAAAAAATATACTTGTATCATTTTGCTAGAATTTTAGTTTCATGGAAAGCTGGACATGAGTTGCATATCAATACCTTTAAATGCAGATTCTCAATCACAACAAACGTCCTTTCATTGTATTTCAAATTAATTCTTTTTTTCTGTTTCGCCAGATGGTTCCATTGGTAGATCATGCCAGTGATACGCTTGTGAAATCTCTGAGGAAGAATCTGAAAGATGGAAATGGAGTTATTGAAATGATGGAGTGGGTGTATAAAGGACGTTTATTGCATTTACGTATGGACAAAATCGGTCATATCACAAAAACACTTATATTTGATAAACATTTACCACCGGAGGTATGCTCGTTATGATCTGGAAATCACTTTATCATTTCAAATTGCTCAATTAAATTATCATTAAATATGTTTATTGTGTAAATTTGGATACAAGAAGGACAAATCTAGCCAACAAAGGTATTAATATAAACCTTATTTATTTTACAACAATTGCGAAACAAGTTATGTCAACTTATACTAATCACTCTTGTTGGCCCGGATGTAAGCGCGCGAGGGGTCTTCTTGTGGGAGGAAACCGGAGTCCCCGTGGAAAACCCACGTGGTCGGTCAGGTGACCCCTTACCTTTTCACGTCCGTTCCGGGAATCGAACCCCGGTCTGCTAGGTGAAAGGCGAGTGCATTACCACTGCGCCACCCGACCACCCAGGTAACAAAGGTATTAATGGTTTGTGTCTTCGTTTTCAGGGTATATGGAGCCTACACAATGGACGTGATATGTTCTACTGCCTTCGGTATTCAGATTGATTCACAAAACAACCCAAATGATGAATTCGTTTCCAATGCAAGGAAGTTCTTGATTTTAAAGTTAGCATCTCCTATCATCTTATGTTTGAGTAAGTCATATACTTCAAGGTTGACACATATTGAAATCTTGAAAATGATCAGTTTCAGTTGACATTATCTTGGTGAGCTTGACAAACCTATCGAAACAAACTGTGCTCTTGGCTGATTATGTTATCATACGAGACTGAGGTTAAAGCAGAGTTTATAAAAACAGGTCGCAAGTGCCATGCAATGTCCTTCAGTTTCACTTTTCAGTATTTTTATATGAATTGTCATTTAATAAACATTATAATTTACTATGTCGATCATGTATATGTCAACTTAAATTGGAAATCAAGACGTGACTCTCTTCTACATCTGCCGCTTTTCTCTATCTTTTCCTACAGCGTAACCAACAGAAACGCTTTCCACCAGGTTACAGGCGTGCTGATTTCCATTTTCCTGTTGTGATTTTTTTTCATTTCAAGTTTAGCAATTCCCCTGCCTCCTTGACCTTTATGTTTACATGTTTGATGTGAGAATTGTGGATTTGTTACCAATATCATTATCCTCTTTAAAGATGTCGAGAAATGACGGATAAACCCAGGAATTCGAGTCATGTGATTTGGTGAAGACTATGGGAAGTTTCATTGTCGACACCACGATTTCGTTTGTGCATCTTTCATTTCATCAATGTCCGTTATATCTATAATCATTTCATTGTTGTGCGCCTTTGCTATATTTGAAAACGTAACTTGTCAAACTTGAACTTACCGAGAAAAATACACGTTAAGCCTTCTGGATCACATGTTCTTCTATATGCAAATCTTTCCATTGTTCGTGGTCTGCCCTCGTTCCATTGATTTTCTTAACTTGTTGGCATTTTCTGATTACTCTTGTTATAAAGTTTGGAGCTTGGAGAATGTTTCGTTAAAATGACAAACATGTATTTGATTGAAACATTATTGATATGTAAAACGAGTGATCGAAAGGAATTTTGATAATTGTCAATTTCCTTATTAAATGTTGTCTTTGCTTGTTTGCAGTATTTTTGCCCAAGCTCCACTTTTTGATGCCCTATTTAGGAATATCGTTCTTGGATAAAGACATTCAGGCGTTTTTCCGTAAGATAACAACTAAACTTCTCGCGGAACGTGTCGCAGGAAGCAAGGTAATACAGCAAAACCCAATTTGTTCTTTATTATTACCTCTATATTGCCAACATATAATATTATTCGTGAAATTCTCAGACTTGGTCGACGTTAATTTGCCTTTACGGATAAAAACGTTGGGAAGGCTTGTTACTTGTAATATAGATCATTTTCGGAGGCCTATTTTATTCTCAAAAATATGTTTTGTATGTATTTGATATATAAATAGAGAAAAAAAACGAGTTTAATGGCGTCTTTTGTCATTTTCTAACATTATGAAATAACGAATCAGGTCTGCTCATAATAACGTGACCCTGTAAAATGTTGAAATCTCAACAGTTAAATTTCTAGTAAAAATGTCGCACGGAAGTTGGTATAAACAAATTTATATCTATATATATCTTTATCTATTTTTTTCAGGATCGCGTAGATTTTCTCCAGCTGATGAAAAATGCTCAGCAAGAAAATGAAGATTCCGACAAAGAAGATGACGAAGATAATAATGATAACAGTTCTGTAAACAAACCGTCCACCGCCTGGTCTAGGAAAGGTTTGTATCAGGTATTGAAGAACACTAGCGATCTATATAGGATTAATTTGTATGTCTAAACACGTGAAGATAATAAGAATATACGATACACAACACAGAAAACAAAATGCAATAGTATAAGGTCTGATGTCGTAGATACGAGATTCAGCACAGAAGTGGATTGTGTCCTTATGATGAAGTCTAATGGAATCGATACAAAAACCATCTGCATCTGTATTTTAAACGTGGTCTTACGAACAAAAGTTTATGGTAGAATAAGAAGCACGAACAACAGCCAGGAATAATGTAAGATTTAAAACAAAGAAGAAACCAAGATGTACGAACAGTCCAGGATAAGGTAATGTCTCAGAAGTCGAGACAAATATGTTTTAGCAGAAGTCATATCAAACATCTTCCTGGCATTCCTTTTCATAACTTTCTCCTTTATTTTCACAAGATACGCGAATGGCTGAGAAACGTCGACGGATAAATCTTCTATTTCACCTTCAGGTATCACATTCGATGAAATTCTTGGAAATGCCGAGGTATTCTTCTTCGCTGGGTATGAGACCACTACGATAACACTGGCAATGGCTTCATACTACCTCGCCTTGTACCCAGAGTACCAGGACAAGCTCCGTCAGGAACTGACAGATAAAATCGGTTCAGTACGTACATAGAGAGTCACTGAGTTTAACAGGCAATGATGATGGTGATGATACATGAATGCATTTATGTCATATAACTTATTCTAGAGTGGAAACGTTCATCTAACATGTTTCTTTATAAATATCTCTTTATGCATAAATTTTATTATTTTAAATATCAGGTTGCAAAATTCTGTTTCGCAATGTACATCATAAAAAACTTGTTGCAATGTATCATTTCATTTGACATGTATTTCAGTAAGTACTTTTTTCTTAAGACCAATATAAAGATAATAATGTAATGTTGCTTTCTTAAATAACATATCAATAAGCAGCTGGTTTTCTTCAACTATCAATAGATGATTTTTATTTTCGGATGGCTCCCCCCTCCAACCCCATCCCAACCACCCCTCCATGATATGGTATAGTATTGCATATTAATGACTTTCTGTTCCACAGCAACAGGTGACCTATGACAACATTCGTGAGGTCAAATACCTGGAAATGATTATTAATGAGACTCTCAGAATCAACCCTCCCGCTACACGGTAAGGATGAAGCTGTTCACAACGAAAGGCATATGAATCACATAATATTCGTGTAAATGTTTGACATTGTATGATTCAAACAGAAATTATCAAGTTTCACAAAATCACTAATACTCTAAATATTATTTTCATGACTGAAACGTAGTAATAATCAAATGTGTAACATAAAACCAGAAAATCTACACAAGTTCATTTAAACATAAGAAATAAGAGGCACTTTGTGGAAATGAACCAACAAGAAGTTTACTTATAGACGAACATAACCTCTTCAGTCTCTTGTGGGTAAGATTGTGTGATCTCAACCCGGCATGAACGTTGGCAAATAGGAGACTGTGATACAAAAATTCATATCATTTCATCCGTGCGACAGAATATATCGATGTCTAGCCATACCTGTGATATATATGTACTATAATCATAACGAATGTTGGTTGTCCACTGTAGGCACACGTAGTTAATACCATCATATAACACGGTCAGACTGATGATATTTCTGTAGGACCGACAGAGTCTGTTTGAGAGATACGGAAATCAATGGTATAAAGATCCCGGCTGGTATGAATATTAGTGTACCTATATATGCCATCCATCACGACCCGGATAACTGGGAAGATCCCGACAAGTTCATTCCAGAAAGGTACATCAGTAAATAGCTTTATTCTCTTATAATAGGCTCACCATTTATATATATATATAATAGATCTTGAAATATGATCTTTTGACAACTTAGTTAGAAATAAAATATATCGCCAGGGACGTATGATACTCTGTTATATACGTCCCTGATATTGCTAACGTTACAGAGGTGTGGTGTTATAGTAACAAAGTTCCTGGATAATTTTATTTAACACCTCGCTCTCCCATAACTGTTATATTCTCACGTGTTTCTGTATTCGGGTTACTATAAGTTTCTTCTTTCTCGCATGGTTTCATATACACATAAATTCCTCTGCAAGGCCAATGTTAAAAAACTTCTTTTCCTTGCCTCGCTTTTTAAATCAAACTTACTGCATTACAGATTTGCAGACAATGACAGTTACGACCCACTGACCTTTCTCCCGTTCGGATACGGACCACGGATTTGTATCGGCATGAGGCTAGTCCAAATGGAGTTGAAAATGTCACTTGCCAAAGTTGTTCGTAATTTCAGGATATCCGTTTGCAGTGAGACCCAGGTAACTACTATTTCTTTTTAAAATGATCTAGAACTACAGTGTGAAAATTTTATAGCTTATGTAACACAGTACATCTGCAAACACAGGCATTACCGTCACAATAACCATCGCAATAAAACGCAATCTCAGTTTAGGTTGTACAAAATAGGCACAAGAAAAGAGTACCTTTTAATCCAAAAAAAAAAAAAGACTAACAATTTGGGCTGTTATGTGGCCATCAATTCTCGAAAGTGTACTGTATAATGAACTTATGTAACGTTCAGTTAACGCATGCAGGAATTTATAACCTTGATAATTTAATATTTTTCATTAACTCTATCTCATTTTGTCACTCCAGATTCCCCCTGATATGATGAAGCTGGGATTGCTTAAACCAAAATCAACTAAACTCAAACTAGAAGAGATCAAGTAAAGCGCTGACCTGTGGGAAAACACGATTTAGAAAATCTATAATGGAACAATTCAAACATCGAATTTGGATTCATTTGGTATTTAGTATCACTGGTGAATCCTCGACAACTACAATTATACATGGTGTAGCTGGTGTAGCAAATCTTACTCGTTTTTATCTATTTTTTTTAAGTTATCTTTATCGACTTTCAAATTTCACTTTTTATGTATCAACCTATTGTCCTATTTATGTTAATAGAAGATACACAAGGTAAAATACATACGACTATTTGAACAACTGTGATATTCTGGATTAGAAAATTGTTTAAGCTGTGTTTATTTTCTTTAATTCGAAGTCAAAACTGGTACTATTTCATGACGTACTGTGCGTGAAGACAGTAAGTGATAAAAACCACGAAACAATCCTTTGCCTCAACGGAAAAGATGGCCGCCATTTTTGGGCTAGCGTCAGAATTCATTAGTGTATATAAGTGATTAGATCATGAAAAGTATCAATTAAAACCAAGCATTACATAACCATTATTTTAGAAATTTTATTCTTCTTTTACAATTTTACAAACTCAATCACATATTCATTGGAACAGAATTAGATTCTGTGGTTATGCAAATAATTAATAACACTTTCAATATGCTAATTCTTACATTCACATTGAACACAACCACAAGCACCTGTCATTTGAATCATACACAGAAAACTGGACATGTGAATATAGTATAATGTATATATATAAAGACACATTTAAACTTCTTCCATACAGACTTGTAAATATGATGAATACACCACAGACACTGACATACAATTTAATGAATATATACATTCTTGTGAATACTTTACATGCTTACACAGACATTTCCTGACAAGTTATAGTGAATACCACATAAACATGTTGCCCAGACACTAACCTCAATTGAACTGGCTAGTGAATACTGTGCATACATCAACATTTACATACATGTTTACATAATATTTCTTTACAGACAAGTGACATGAATATTTGATTTGAATTTTCATATTTTCTGCTCATACATCCCCCCTAATCCAAACAAGTTGAACAACAGACGATGCACTGAATTGCTGCAGTATACAGTGACATCTATCCTCCATTGATCTGTGATTTGTTCCAAACATTGGAAATACAAATACACAAACACAACATAAAACACTAAATTTGCCAGTAACCCCTAGCTTATTTATTTTAACAGTTCTCACTTTATCTAATAAACAAAAATGGACAAGTTCACTTTAATATTCAGCTCCATCATTAAAACATTTCCTTTACATTTCAAAACACTGGTAAATGCTTCAACAAAAATATATCTAATGCCTGTATAGCTTTTGACACATAGGACAGTAATCTCTATCGTTCTGGTGGTAAAATAAAGCATTGTTCATATATCACTCAGTTGGGCAAAAATTAACTCCACTCTTTAGTGATTTAAATGGGAAATATTGAAGGAAAAATAAAAATAATGCTGTTATTAGTTTCTTCAGACATCAGGTTTAGAGGTTCCTGGACCAGTGTGGTGGAAAATCCAACAGCAATACTCTTTCCTACATATAGATTTTATACAAAAATATTCATACACAGAACAAACATATGAATACAAACAAAATGACAGCTATTTACAAGTCCAAACATCTGAATGTCTCCATAGATATAGGTGATAACTTTTCACCACCTAGGCTAGCACAACTTTCATGTCTATTGATCTCCTTACAGGCTATCACAATGCATACATGAACATAAACAAACATTCCACTTACCAAATATTTACTTTTCATCAGTAATACATATATTTCATCAACTTCAGTTTTGCCTGTTATACTTAATTGAAAATTATCTATAAATATCTGCGGTAATAATAAATTTGATCTTTTTCGGCTGAGCTAGAAAGGGTTACGTTGCACAACAGGGAATATCCCAGTAGACAGTACACAGACAGAACACAAAAATAGAATCAACATTATATACCAAATATACTATACATTATATCACATTTTTTTCTTTCTGAAACGGAAGACAAATATATCACAGTTTATCAAATACATTGACAACATAACTATAATCATACACACCAGTCATTGTACATTTAACAAATTAACAAGAGGCCCATGGGGAGTTATCATTCACCTGATTTTCGTCAAAATTGCTTCATCTGTTATAGCGGAGAAGGGTTTTAGAGGTCCATCCTTATTTCCCCCTATCCCTCTGCCCCAAGGTGGTCAGACTCCTAGAACTAGTTTCTGTGAAATGAAATGTACATCATTTGTTGACGTTCTTTACAAAATTTGGTAAAATTCAAAGATTAAATTACCTCCTGTTCCTATTCAAAGCTGTCTTGCACCATATCAAGTACACTTCACCCAGAGATGCTTCTGACCAAATTTGGGCAAAATCATGTCATTCTTACAGAAAAAAGCATTTTAAGGCTTTGCCTTTGTTTTCCCATCAGGCCTTGCCAAATAACCCCAATGGGGTTCAGACCCACCGATTCATTTTCACTTCAACAAAGGATACTTTAGATTAAATTTGGTCAAAATATCCTCATCCATACAAAAAAAGAATATTAAACCTTTTGCTCCATTTCCCCTTGTTGCCTAATCCCTCAGACCTCAACAGTGGCCACACATTCCACTATTACAGAATCCTTTCACCGAAGGATCCTTGACACAAAGTTGAAAAACACCATATCATTCGCACAAAAGAAGGATTTCACAAATGTGCTACATCAAACTAGGCATTGTTCCTCAGGCCCCTGGAGACAAAGACTCACCATTTAAGCAAATATAGGTCTTCTCCACTGAATGATACTTCAGACCAAATCTGATAAAAAAACAAATAGTTCTTTGTCTTGTAACCATTGGTAGAAAAGTTGATTCATACTGTGTGCCAAATGCCTTGAATTCACTTGGCTTTCAGGAGAAGCAAGTTAAAATCAAGGAAACCATGATAGTGGTATATGGAAAAGTGGCTCTACACTGACATTAAAAAATTCTAAAATGTTATGATTTCCATATAAGTTTCTGATGCATCTCATCAAATTATCAATGAGATGGTTTTTAAGTTGAAAATTGATCAGGATTTCAATGCATTTTTCAACAAGAGATCCCAGAGGGATCTTGGCGCCCACCATTTGAGGATCTGTTTTCAGTTCTTGAAGATTTTTTTATTTTTGTTTGTTTGTTACAGGTGTTGTAAATGTTCATGAACTGGTCTTCATTGAATGTACTCAATGATGGCACAAGATATTTTTATTAAGCACCTATTAGCAAATATCATTTGAAAAAGATCCCAAAGTATTATTAGATAGCAGTCAGTTACAGGTGGATAATGGACAATATGCTTGTGCTGTATTACGACATCCAAGATGGCTGCCTGTGGGCCACCTTGATTTCAAATCAGTCCAAAAAAGGTACAATGCACAACTAGGGACCAAGGGAAACCAATAACTATGAAATATCAGAAGGATCCATCCAGTACTTCCTCAGATATAGCAGTAACAAGATTTTACTCTCAAAATCCAAGATGGCTGCCTGTCAGCCATGCATATGAAATATGAGAAAGATCCATCCAGTACTTTCCAAAAATAGGTTCTTTTAATGCACAACTTGGAACCAAAGGGAACCTGCATATGAAATTTGAGAAAGATCCATCCAGTACTTTCCAAGAAATAGCAGTAACAATCTTTTACATTCAAAATCCAAGATGGCCACCTGTCTGCCATCTTGAAATCGAATCAGTCCAAAAAAGGTACAATGCACAACTAGGGACCAAGGGGAAACTGCATATGGAATTTGAGAAAGATCCATCCTGTACTTTTCCAGAAATAGCGGTAACAAGAATTGTTTACGGACGGACGGACCACGGACGCAGGGCGATTTGAATAATGCACCATCTAATGATGGTGGGCTAAAAATACAGTTGCACAAATGACATCTTTATTACCAAAGGGAGGGGTTTCTGTTACATACAATAAGATGTTAAAATAGACACACGTTTTTCCCCATAAACCTCCAGTTGTATTGTATAAGCACTAAATAATACACTCATCGACAATTAATGTAATGTTATTTTTTTTTTGAAAAAGGATATAACTTCAAGACAAGATATATGTATGTTTTCTTGAACTATTTAGTGTCAAAGGGTGTCAAAAAATCCATTTCTTATTACGTCTTAATGCTTGTGTTATTTTATTGAATGGACTTCCAAGTGTTTACTAATTAATCAGGAGAAAAGAAGGCAATGTTATAAAGTTTTTCTGATGGACACATTTATAATCCATAGCAATGTCGTCGGGTTAGAAGGTTTGATAGGTGAAATGTCAGATGGACCACGGCTTCCTGTGATCTCATCAGTAAGGTTACAAGTGTTGTCAGGAGTCACAAACTATCGAAAAGAATTCAAAGGAGGAGCAAAGAAAATCACAGCTACACACATTGTAGTATACAACATACATGATTCAAGTTTATATATCTTTAGTATCAAAATGGAATGTACAGACAGAATGCCTCCAGAGGCTCCCCTTTAGCTGCTTGTCACTCATCAGTGTGTTATCCACTGTTGGCATATGTGGTGGTGTCATAAATATATCATACTTATCACATTAGACATACAAGTCAAAATAGTTCACAAGCAATGTATCTCCAAAGTATAGGTCTCAATGAATCCCAAATAAGGAAAACAAGTGTCACATTGGTAACATTGTAATGTGGTGAATGTCACACACCTGTAACAGCATGTCAGGTGAGAACAGAATAATCATTACACATGTGTAGGCTGTTGATGTGAAGGAAGGCCACACAGGAGGCACATCTTCTCTGGAACACACAGTCGGTGAAACAAATGGCCTGCAAATCAACATCAACATCGTGAATGACACAATTTTTTTAAGTCATTCTATATAAAGTACATTCAAAGAATACAAGAATGGAAACCTTGAAAGTCATAATAATTTTAAAAACAAATTTTCTTTTCACTCTACCTAATGCACTCAAAAGTTAACAGGCATATTATGGTTTTTCACCCACAAGTTTTAATCTGGATTTTTTTATTTAGTTTGAGATGTAAAAAGCAATATTCAAAAGACGGAACATGCATTGCATTATTATCTTTTTTCTAAAAAATCATTAATCTAAAGTATTGTTGAAGATTTAACAAATATTTGTGAAACCTTCTATGAAATTAAATTGTGTAGGTAAAATAGGAATTAAAACAAGACAATACAGCAAATTACTGTTCCCCACCAACGCACCATCTCTTGATCTAGGTCAAAAGTCAAAATGTAGGTCTAAATGACCTACATTCTTACAAAGGTCAATCCCTACCCTGAGTACGCAATGACAAGTCATGTAGGAGAGAGCGGCTCACCAACAAAGCAGAATGATAGAGGAAGAGAAGGAACCATGTACAACACAAAACCAGTTTCCTCGATTCTCCATGGGAGCCTAATTAACATATCAAAATACATTGCAAAAGTAGGGTGGACATACCACATTGGAATGTCAGGATGCCAGGCTCGACGTGGGAAACTGCCTCAGTCAGGGATAAATTACAACACATGCAACTCCTGTTTAAAAAGAGATGGCAATATAAGTCTGTGTGTTATGCTATAAAGTATCAACTTAAACAAAGCTTCTTCTCAACTCAGTATCAAATTTCAAATTTCAAATAGTTGTGTCATTATTTTTTTACTACTTTCAGGGACTTGACAAGAAATGAAGCATGTGATAAGTTTTTAAATGTTTACAAATAAGAACCATTATCTGTTTTTAGATAGTTCTAATGAATTCACAATAATGTGCATCAATTATAATATTCATTTCTATTTCTGAACTATTTCAGTACATTTATCTGAACAGTTACATATTTCTAGATAATAACCTGGACAACTTAGCACTGATGCCCCATTGACTTTCTCTGTCTTCCTGATATCTTTCACAGGGCTGGGCAGCTTCTGGCATGTAGGAAATCTGTAACGATACAGCTAGCCAATTATACAGCTACAATGACTTTCATATTTCAAAGCATGAACTAAGCATTGTAGAATACCCAATAAAAAAACTGTATCTGTACACATCTACCAACAATATAGTGAGATATTTATACAGCCTTGTATGTCACAGTATCTGTACTCATCTACCAACAATACAGTGAGATATTTATACAGCCTTGTATGTCAGTATCTGTACACATCTACCGACAATATAGTGAGATATTTATACAGCCTTGTATGTCAGTATCTGTACACATCTACCAACAATATAGTGAGATATTTATACAGCCTTGTATGTCAGTATCTGTACACATCTACCAACAATATAGTGAGATATTTATACAGCCTTGTATGTCACAGTATCTGTACTCATCTACCAACAATACAGTGAGATATTTATACAGCCTTGTATGTCAGTATCTGTACACATCTACCAACAATATAGTGAGATATTTATACAGCCTTGTATGTCAGTATCTGTACACATCTACCAACAATATAGTGAGATATTTATACAGCCTTGTATGTCAGTATCTGTACACATCTACCAACAATATAGTGAGATATTTATACAGCCTTGTATGTCAGTATCTGTACACATCTACCAACAATATAGTGAGATATTTATACAGCCTTGTATGTCAGTATCTGTACACATATATAGTGAGATATTTATACAGCCTTGTATGTCAGTATCTGTACACATCTACCAACAATATAGTGAGATATTTATACAGCCTTGTATGTCACAGTATCTGTACACATCTACCAACAATATAGTGAGATATTTATACAGCCTTGTATGTCAGTATCTGTACACATCTACCAACAATATAGTGAGATATTTATACAGCCTTGTATGTCAGTATCTGTACACATCTACCAACAATATAGTGAGATATTTATACAGCCTTGTATGTCAGTATCTGTACACATCTACCAACAATATAGTGAGATATTTATACAGCCTTGTATGTCAGTATCTGTACACATCTACCAACAATATAGTGAGATATTTATACAGTCTTGTATGTCAGTATCTGTACACATCTACCAACTATATAGTGAGATATTTATACAGCCTTGTATGTCAGCATCTGTACTCATCTACCAACAATATAGTGAGATATTTATACAGCCTTGTATGTCACAGTGTCTGTACTTATCTACCAACAATATAGTGAGATATTTATACAGCCTTGTATGTCACTGTATCTGTACACATCTACCAACAATATAGTGAGATATTTATACAGCCTTGTAAGTCAGTATCTGTACACATCTACCAACAATATAGTGAGATATTTATACAGCCTTGTATGTCAGTATCTGTACACATCTACCGACAATATAGTGAGATATTTATACAGCCTTGTATGTCAGTGTCTGTACACATCTACCAACAATATAGTGAGATATTTATACAGCCTTGTATGTCACACATCTACCAACAATATAGTGAGATATTTATACTTGTACACATACAGTGAGATATTTATACAGCCTTGTATGTCAGTATCACACATCTACCAACAATATAGTGAGATATTTATACAGCCTTGTATGTCACAGTATCTGTACACATCTACCAACAATATAGTGAGATATTTATACAGCCTTGTATGTCAGTATCTGTACACATCTACCAACAATATAGTGAGATATTTATACAGCCTTGTATGTCACTGTATCTGTACACATCTACCAACAATATAGTGAGATATTTATACAGCCTTGTATGTATCTGTACACATCTACCAACAATATAGTGAGATATTTATACAGCCTTGTATGTCAGTATCTGTACACATCTACCAACTATATAGTGAGATATTTATACAGCCTTGTATGTCAGTATCTGTACACATCTACCAACTGTATAGTGAGATATTTATACAGCCTTGTATGTCACAGTATCTGTACACATCTACCAACAATATAGTGAGATATTTATACAGCCTTGTATGTCAGTATCTGTACACATCTACCAACAATATAGTGAGTGAGATATTTATACAGCCTTGTATACAGTGAGATATTTATACATGTCAGTGTCAGTATCTGTACACATCTACCAACAATATAGTGAGATATTTATACAGCCTTGTATGTCAGTATATGTACACATCTACCAACAATATAGTGAGATATTTATACAGCCTTGTATGTCAGTATCTGTACACATCTACCAACAATATAGTGAGATATTTATACAGCCTTGTATGTCACAGTATCTGTACTCATCTACCAACAATATAGTGAGATATTTATACAGCCTTGTATGTCACAGTGTCTGTACTTATCTACCAACAATATAGTGAGATATTTATACAGTCTTGTATGTCAGTATCTGTACACATCTACCAACTATATAGTGAGATATTTATACAGCCTTGTATGTCAGTATCTGTACACATCTACCAACAATATAGTGAGATATTTATACAGCCTTGTATGTCACAGTATCTGTACACATCTACCAACTGTATAGTGAGATATTTATACAGCCTTGTATGTCAGTATCTGTACACATCTACCAACAATATAGTGAGATATTTATACAGCCTTGTATGTCAGTATCTGTACACATCTACCAACAATATAGTGAGATATTTATACAGCCTTGTATGTCACAGTATCTGTACTCATCAGTAATAACAGTTCAAAAAACCAGTTCTTACGATTTTGCAAAACAAATAAAGCCTATTCTACTTAAAGTTCCAAACATACCAAACTATCTCTGTCCCTTTGTGATGTACCCTTTGCCATCTTCTCCTGCATCACACAGTACCGCAGCTAGGAAATGAAGTAATTTTTTACAAAGTTAATCAAGTACATCAAACAATACATGATAATTTCACACTATCTAACAGTTAAACCAAGCAAATTATTCAAAAATTTTACTAAACAAGAGGTCAAAGGGCATTAATGTGTACTTCAATAATGTAATTGAAGCTAAGAAATAAAGAATATAGGCTGTTGAGTGATATCACACCTAATATTATAATTCAGGTAACTACAAAACCTTGGAAATCATTAATAACTGAAAGGTATTTGAACAATGAAAATTAAACTAAGTTTGTAGGACTGAAAGCATGTTGAAAATTGACGATTAAAGGTCCTTTGATATAATTCTGAGACACGTTTCATGAAAATCTGACTAGTGTATTATGTAATTGTATACAATGATACAAAGTGTCTAAATGTTTCAGTGATATTAACTGTAGTGTAAGATTTCACAATAAAAAAAGAACCATTCCAATGTCACCAAAGAATTGTAATAAATTAATTCAAGGAAACAGATTCAAAGTGTTGGTAGTGTATACCTACCTCAGGCATTAGAGTAGTTGGTTTCTTGGCCCACAGGTATGAGTCCAACTTCTCGAGGAAATTATGAGTCACATTGCTACAACATCATCAAGACCAAACATTTCATTACAAAAATTGGTATATTTGAAATTCAAAATAATGAACTCATTTAACAGAACCACAATACTTGTACCTCTAAAACAAGTGGCTTATGTAAGATCATCTAACAGAAACAACTGATTAGCTACAATTTGTCTCATCGGGTTTGACGACCTTGTGCCAGCCAAGGTCATAAGACAAGTGTCAAGAGGAACACCAAGAGAGGAAAACAAAGCACAGAGGAAAATATTTCAGTATAAAGTAAACAGTAGACACACTGAATGATAAGTTGTAACATTAAAGCAAATAAATTCTGCTTTGACTAGAGATTTTGGAAAAAGTTATGACCGGTATAATAAATCTAAAACATCTAATAGATAGAAACATACAAATAACAGAATGAAAACAACACATATCTGGAATGACAAGATGATGATCAAATCGTTGCCATAAGTCAAAAGTGGAGCGATAAGATGAACAAAAATATGTTAGTAACAATTTTATACTGACCGTTTAGTTCTGTTCAGTAACATAGTAATCAGGGCCGACTGATGAAAATATGCAGACAATTGTCCCTGATGAATGTCCAGTTCCTGAAGAATGGTCACCGTGGCAACAGGTCCAAGGTGGCACAACATCAATGAAGCAAAGTCCTCCCAAGGAATACAACCAGGCCAACTATATTCCTTACATACATCTTTTGTGTCTCCGCGGTAACTTGGAGGCCGCTTGCTGGCTTCCTGTAGATCGTTCTTTGCCCCATCTTGAGATGTATATCCAGGACTCTTTACACTTGTGTTTGGGATAAATTCACTCATACTAGGCTTCTTTATTTCTAAATCCGGATTTTCACTATTTTTATTTGACACTTTCACTTCACTACAGCTATCATATTTGTCTATTTGTTCTCCCTCTTCTTCACTATTGTCTTTTGAAACATTCCCTGTTTCCAAAGGATAATCTTCAACATCTTCACTATTGTCTTTTGAAACATTCCCTGTTTCCAAAGGATAATATTCAATAGCTTCACTATTGCCTTCTGAAACAGACCCTTTTTTCGTTGGATAATCTAAAATATCTTCACCATTGCCATTTGAATCATAACCTTTCTCCACTGGATGGGCCTGTAACTTTTCACTATTGTCTTTTGAAACTGCCCCTTTAGTAGCTGGTTGATCTTTAAACAATGCACCACTAGTGCTATGACTAGACTGTAGTGACATGTACTGTCTGTGTAACAGATGAACGACAAAAGTCCACTCCTCCTTTGTCTGAGGCACATAATCTGTAAATACATGTTGTAACACTAGTGTAAAGTGTCATCCTCTACTACTGAACTAATCTCATCGCAGGCTAGCAGCCAACATTACTGCAATCTACTAACAGGATAACTCTGCTCAAATTCATACTTATTTGTACATAGCATAATAATAGTTTTATGTTTACATAGTATAATCACTGCTTTATGTTTATGTAACAGAGGTAATTTTTCATCTCAATGTCTCCGCTAGGAATCGAACCCGGGACCCCTGACTTACTAGTCTGACGCTCAACTAATCGAGCTAAAGAGAATTTCTCTCTAGCGGAGTGGTATATTGCGGCTGGTACTTTAAAGGGTTACATACTCCCCCTCCAGGAAATAACTCATCCTCGAGTTTCCAGGGGTTACAGCGATGCTGGTGGGGCATGGCTAAGTACTATTCCCGGGTCCCTACATGGGTGCCAATGTAACAGAGGTCATTTTTCATCAAAATGCCTTACTAGTCTCACGCTCAACCAATCGAGCTAAAGAGAAGTTCTCTCTAGCCGGTGATATATTGCGGCTAGTATTTTACCAGGGTTACATTTACATAGTATAATCATAGTTTTTGTTTACATGGTATAATCATAGTTTTTGTTTACATAGTATAATCATAGTTTTTGTTTACATGGTATAATCATAGTTTTTGTTTACATGGTATAATCATAGTTTTTGTTTACATGGTATAATCATAGTTTTATGTTTACACAATATAATCATAGTTGTATGTTTACACAAGGAAACAGTAGTTAAATATTACATTATCATACATTATTCTATTTCACTGATTGAACAATGCAGGCTTTAGTCTATCTATCCATACTTAAAGTATCTATTGATCTATAACAGTACCAACACAATAGAATCTTAAATTCGAGAGAAAAAGGAACCCATGTTCAACAGTGATAATATAAGCAGGATGTGTTAAGTTTCAAGCTCAAGTTGATTACATGTATTAAAATGAACAGAAGGTTGATATGCAGTTAATTCTCTCTAAACTGAATATCCATTGAACCTAATACTTTCACAAATTAGGAAATAATCTAAATTAACTGATTCACCTTAAATGAAGAAGACATTTTCATAAGCATAGTTGATTTTTCAGAGTGGAGAGATCTTCAGAGAAGTTAAGTTTTGAGCAGATTTAAAATTGGACAGTGCCAATTTGTTTAAAGAGTGACTTCAGATTGGGAAGAATTGGCTAAGAGTAAATTTAACAGATTGAAAAGGTATTGTTGAGAAAGAATTTCATATTGGAGAGGGCTGGGCAAAGGAATTTCAGGTTGAATATGGCCATTTAGGAGAGAATTTCATCTTGAGAAGGCCAGTTCTGACAAAATTTCAGATTAGAGGAGGCTGATTAAGAGAGAATTTCAGACTGGAGAGGGCAAGTTCAGAAAGAATTTCAGACTGAGTTGGGTTAGGTATGACAATATTTTAAGTTTGAGAGAGCCAGGTAAGACAGCATTACACATTGGAGAAGGCCATTTTTGACAGAATTTCATATAAGAGAGAGCTGGTTAAGAGAGAATTTCATATTAGAGAGGGCCAGTTAAGAGAGTTTTACTGCATACATGTACTTACACAGAAGTGACACAAACTTACTGTATTTGCTGCTAAATAGACTGATGTCACCTAAGTGTACAATGGTAGTAAAGATATCCTCCCTTCTTTGTAGTTGCTGTAGCAACTGTAGGTAACCACGCCAGAAACTGCACAAAACCAAAATAATGATAATGTAATCCAAGGCTAAAGAAAGTCAGGAAATGTCTGTAAGATGAATGCCCTTCCTCAAATACTTATCAGAATATTTTGATTACTTTGCAGAAGTTGTTAAATGTCATCATTATACTACCCCCAGATAGTTATAATACAGGTGACATACCCTGAACATTATACTACCCCAGATAGTTATAATACAGGTGACATCCCCTGAACATTATACTACCCCAGATAGTTATAATACAGGTGACATACCCTGAACATTATACTACCCCCAGATAGTTATAATACAGGTGACATACCATGAACATTATACTACCCAAGATAGTTATAATACAGGTGACATACCCTGAACATTATACTACCCCCAGATAGTTATAATACAGGTGACATACCCTGAACATTATACTAGTCCAGATAGTTATAATACAGGTGACATCCCCTGAACATTATACTAGTCCAGATAGTTATAATACAGGTGACATACCCTGAACATTATACTACCCCCAGATAGTTATAATACAGGTGACATACCCTGAACATTATACTACCCCCAGATAGTTATAATACAGGTGACATACCATGAACATTATACTACCCCCAGATAGTTATAATACAGGTGACATACCATGAACATTATACTACCCCCAGATAGTTATAATACAGGTGACATCCCCTGAACATTATACTAGTCCAGATAGTTATAATACAGGTGACATACCATGAACATTATACTACCCCCAGATAGTTATAATACAGGTGATATACCCTGAACATTATACTACCCAAGATAGTTATAATACAGGTGACATACCCTGAACATTATACTAGCCCAGATAGTTATAATACAGGTGACATACCCTGAACATTATACTACCCCCAGATAGTTATAATACAGGTGACATACCCTGAACATTATACTACCCCCAGATAGTTATAATACAGGTGACATACCCTGAACATTATACTACCCCCAGATAGTTATAATACAGGTGATATACCCTGAACATTATACTACCCCAGATAGTTATAATACAGGTGACATCCCCTGAACATTATACTACCCCCAGATAGTTATAATACAGGTGATATACCCTGAACATTATACTACCCCAGATAGTTATAATACAGGTGACATACCCTGAACATTATACTACCCCCAGATAGTTATAATACAGGTGACATACCCTGAACATTATACTAGCCCAGATAGTTATAATACAGGTGACATACCCTGAACATTATACTACCCACAGATAGTTATAATACAGGTGACATACCCTGAACATTATACTACCCCCAGATAGTTATAATACAGGTGACATCCCCTGAACATTATACTACCCCCAGATAGTTATAATACAGGTGACATCCCCTGAACATTATACTAGTCCAGATAGTTATAATACAAGTGACATACCCTGAACATTATACTACCCCCAGATAGTTATAATACAGGTGACATACCCTGAACATTATACTACCCCAGATAGTTATAATACAGGTGACATACCCTGTACATTATACTAGCCCAGATAGTTATAATACAGGTGACATACCATGAACATTACACTAGTCCCAGATAGTTATAATACAGGTGACATACCCTGAACATTATACTAGCCCAGATAGTTATAATACAGGTGACATACCCTGAACATTATACTACCCCCAGATAGTTATAATACAGGTAACATACCCTGAACATTATACTACCCCCAGATAGTTATAATACAGGTGTCATACCCTGAACATTATACTAGCCCAGATAGTTATAATACAGGTGACATACCCTGTACATTATACTAGCCCAGATAGTTATAATACAGGTGACATACCATGAACATTACACTAGTCCCAGATAGTTATAATACAGGTGACATACCCTGAACATTATACTAGCCCAGATAGTTATAATACAGGTGACATACCCTGAACATTATACTACCCCCAGATAGTTATAATACAGGTAACATACCCTGAACATTATACTACCCCCAGATAGTTATAATACAGGTGTCATACCCTGAACATTATACTAGCCCAGATAGTTAAAATACAGGTGACATACCCGGAAGAATGCAATAGTCCCAGAAATTCCTCTCTCTCCATATCATCTTCTGCAGCATTTAGGACATGGATGATGAACTCAGGCTTTTTCCAGTCTGCTAAATGACTTCCTGGCCTAAAATGCATTTCAGATTATCCAAAATCTATATCAGGAAAGTCACAGTATGATACATAGTACATAACATTAAGTAATTACAGATTGCTAAAAGTCTCAATAATCATAATTTTAAGTGATATTTTCGTAACTTTTACTAAAAATTTGAATATGTATTAATGCTATCAGCTTCACACTTCATTTCTTTCTCAAACCATGTGATATTTACTTTTTGTATTTACTTGTTGCTAAACCATTCCATACAGCATACTGAAGATGTTTAATTTCAACTTATACTGAATGTCTACTCTCACCAGATGTCACCTCCAAACTGATGTGAATTACCATCAGATGCCATCTCATTTCATGTCCATTCTCATCTAATATCAAATATTGTCTGGATTCAACTCTCAGTGGATATCAAATTTCCAAGATGTGTAAGGGTTACAGGAAAGGACAGAAGGTGACAGTATGTAAGGATATGTGAAGGTTACACAAGGACAGAAGGTGGCAGTATGTAAGGACATGTGAAGGTTACACAAGGACAAAAGGTGGCAGTATGTAAGGACATGTGAAGGTTACACAAGGACAAAAGTTGGCAGTATGTAAGGACATGTGAAAGTTACAGGAAAGGACAGAAGGTGGCAGTATGTAAGGACATGTGAAAGTTACAGGAAAGGACAGAAGGTGGCAGTATGTAAGGACATGTGAAGGTTACAGGAAAGAACAGAAGGTTGAAGTAGGTAAGGATGTGTGAAGGTTACAGGAAAGGACAGAAGGTTGAAGTAGGTAAGGATGTGTGAAGGTTACAGGAAAGGACAGAAGGTGGCAGTATGTAAGGACATGTGAAGGTTACAATAGGATAGAATGTTGTGGTATATATAGGTCAGATTTAGCTACCTTGGTAGATTGTCCTGTCCAATCAAGTCATCAGCTGGTCTGTTCTCCACTAACAACATTTCCAGCCACTTCAAACGAACAAGGGAATGACCATACACAGAGTCACCATGTCTGAAAAGAGTAACAAATCATACTACAGAAAAAGAATATACTGTTTGTAAACATGGTTTTAGAACCTGCTTCTTTTCTATCTTTTAAGTTTGTTTACAAAGCCTACCTTACACACCTGGTTTCTGCTGGAGCCCTTATTTTTGAAGGTTTCGTTTTTACAACCTATCATTTACACTTTCATTACTCATTTTCCAAATCAATGGTTTAAACACTGACAACAGAAGACATGTAAGCATTAAAACTTTCTAGAGCTGGTACTGTCACAAAAACCATGGTTAAGATCTGTCAATAGCCATGACCTTGATACCACAATATATTTAGGTATACATAACTCTGACCTTACAGTTGTTATGGTAAAATTCAGGCCGACATAAACTATTACTGTTCTTTTATTAGCCTCTGTGAAATGTGAACATCGCATATATGTTGTACTTGTCTATTAGTTGTTGTGGGATCTATAACCCTGTTGTATGTGTAGCACTCACCTGTTAGTTGTCATTAACCCTGTTGTATGTGTGGCACTCACCTGTTAGTTGTCATTAACCCTGTTGTATGTGTGGCACTCACCTGTTAGTTGTTGTGGTATCCATAACCCTGTGGTATGTGTGACACTCACCTGTTAGTTGTTGTGGGATCTACAACCCTGTTGTATGTGTGGCACTCATCTGTTAGTTGTTGTGGTATCAATAACCCTGTTGTATGTGTGGCACTCACCTGTTAGTTGTTGTGGTATCAATAACCCTGTTTTATGTGTGGCACTCACCTGTTAGTTGTAATGGTGTCAATAACCCTGTTGTATGTGTGGCACTCACCTGTTAGTTGTAATGGTGTCATTAACCCTGTTGTATGTATGACACTCACCTGTTAGTTGTAATGGTGTCATTTACCCAGTTGTATGTGTGGCACTCATCTGTTAGTTGTTGTGGTATCAATAACCCTGTTGTATGTGTGGAACTCACCTGTTAGTTGTCATGGTGTCATTAACTCTGTTGTATGTGTGGCACTCACCTGTTAGTTGTAATGGTGTCATTTACCCAGTTGTATGTGTGGCACTCACCTGTTAGTTGTAATGGTGTCATTAACCCTGTTGTATGTGTGGCACTCACCTGTTAGTTGTAATGGTGTCATTAACCCTGTTGTACATATAAGGATAGAAATACTGGCTGACAGACTGACTGTGGTACTGACACATGAAGTACACATCCAGGGGCTGTATATGTGGACTGTCCTGACAGATCTCCAAGGCTCGGTCTAGGTTCTCCTCAAACAACCTTTATAATGATAAATAGTACTGTTGTTCCAAGAATTCTATTTCCTAGAGGGCAGGAACAATCAGCCCTTCACCACAATTCAACACAGAATGTTTTTTCAACAAGGACTGACCAATAGTTTAAATAAACATTCACAGAGAATTAACGTAGACTTTCAATAAAATGATCCTGTCTGGTTACAAGTTACAGGATTTATACAGTTTGTTCTGTTAAACTTTTCAGCAGAGTCCAATCCTAATGATGACCAATAATAAACTTACTTGGTGACACAGGAAAGCACTTTTTCTGTACAGTAGTTTCCAGTCCTCAATATGTCTACTGCATAATGGACTTCCTTATTCATCAACTTCACAAAAAATATGTCTTTCTTGTAAAACTCTAAAATGGTTAAAAAAAGTTATGATACTTCATTCTTAAACATGAGCAGTGATAGAAGCAGCCATCCAGAATTTATTGATATAATTAACATGAGTTTTGACTGCTACGATGCTTATCTCAAAACTGATAGCTATGAAATGTTTGTCAAATTCAGTGTCTGTCTGATTGAATGAGACACTCCTCTGCTGGCAGCAAATGAGTGAGACATTTCTTTTAGAATAAATAGAAAAATATACATTAGACTCCAGAATATGTTTTTATAAAAATAGCTTTGGTGTGTTCATGTTGTGTGGGCCGAGTTACCACACAGATATACTTCCGTTCCAATTTTATTAAATTGTATGAAACAATGAAATCAGCAGTGTGATATAAGTGATAAAAACTTATTTTCTCACCAATACAATGTATCTCTTACAACAGTGTAATGGATTTTGATACACAGAACATCCAGTACACTAGTTGGAGTCATATGTAACATATTTGCTGTTCCCTGCATTGTGATTTGTATTGTTGTGTTGAAAATTAAAACAAATTTATCTGCCTTAGCCACTAACTGAGGAAACTTGGCTTCAAATTTGATACAAATTTATCTGATTTAGTGCCAGATGTAACCAAGACATCAAGGATTTAAATCTGCTGAACCTGTACAACAGATCTTTTTTCTATTTCTTCCTGCAGTGATTCCTTGATTGAATGATGTGGGTAAGACTGCTGTATATGTATGACTGGTTCAATTCAACCTTGTTTACTTTATGTATCAACTTACCATGTAAACATCTGGTGTAGGTACACCAAAACTGGAACAAGTTTCCTTGGTAACTGTGTAGATTTTCCCTTATCTTGCACAAATCAAGCAGAAAACAATAATTCCGCATAAATGTACACACATCCTCATCAGATGAATTAAGCCTCTCAGCAGAGTCCATCTTAGGTAGATCTTTGTCACATAGCTCCCCAGAGTCCTGGAATGAGGGCTGTTGTTTTGGAGTATTGGATGCTGAACTAATATCACAGACTTTTGAATGTTCTTCTTCAGACTCTTGAAATGATATTTCATCCTTGTTTCTCACAGAACATGTTTTACCTTCAGCATTATTATCAGTGATGTTATCAATTTTAGTATCTGAAGGCTTTGAATACAAAGACACATAACCATAACAACCCGCCAGGAAACAGGTCCGAGCTAGCTCAGCCACATTGTTAAAGAGGTCATCAGGCATATGAAATGGGTCAAGGCTATGGATAGTGTCACTCACTTGCTGGGCTAGTTCCATGGAGCACATCTCCAAGCACCACTTATCAGTGGACTGATCTTCTAGACTAACGACTTTCTCAGACTGATCATTATCTCCTACTTTTGCATCACTTTCAACACAATGATCTGTTGTCTGTCCACTTTCTGTATTTGACCAACACTCTGTCCATTTGTCCGTGCTATATGGATCTAGAGTTACATTCTCTATTCCATCATCTTTCTGCGATCCCCCGTCCTTCAAATCACCTGAAGTGTTATTATCAAGTGCTTTGTTTTGAACTTGACCTTTATTGCTGCTGTCTGTTAGGGTCCTTGCTGCTAGCTGGTCAGTGTAAACTTTAGTATGTAAAACCTGTAGGGTTCGGTTTAACTGAGTCACCCAGTTCATTAGAGTGTCCATTACTGCTGCACTATTTAGCACTACATTAGTGTCCTGCAGTATCTTCAGTGTGCTGTCAGTCTTAGCCATTAACTCTGATAAATCCACAGGTGGTTCAGTGTTCGCTGTTACTTGTTCACCACTACTTTCTGCAATACTGCCAAAGACTGGTTTTCCCTGAAATAAAGAGAAATATGCCTTATAATGGGCCATATAATGGCTGAATTTTAACCATAAATTTTTCATGACAAACATTTAAGAGGAATCTCAATTGAGAAAGTGTTAGCTTAGATAATTTGAATTCCTTCTATTCAACAGTGAAAAATACAGCATGGCTAAATGAGATATTGGGAACATTATGTAAAAATTTGCACATCTTAAATGGTGGCACACAATTCAAACTTCACAAGTAAGAATGTACCACCCTCGAGAAATAAAAAAAAAAAAAAAACAATACAAACTCAATTTTTGGCATTTTTTTTCCTGAAGACTCCAATGCTAACAGTTATAAAGTTAACATGCATTCAGAACCTGTGTCTTTGTAGAGCTTATTGTCACCAAAAATCTAATTAATTAGTAAATTCAACACAAACCTTATTTGCTACAGAGTCCATCGTTAATAGGTCATCACCAGAATGAGGCTTTGGCAGAAAGTTCATCCCTGACAAGTCTTCCTGTGATGGAGACTTTGTCAGCAAAGCTTTTTCCTTAATTGTCTTCAAAAACTTACGCTTGGTCACAGAGAACCTAGACTGTAAGCTAGCAAACAGAATCATGATACCATTATTCTCTTAACATCACAAAAATTCAAAGTCTTATTCTTTACAATATGTGAAATAAGTGAAGGCCCATGGAATGGAAGCATGGAAATAAAAGTGAATATCTCCTTCTTTTGTTTTATAAAAGTTAATTTTTCTACTTGTCTTCTTGCCAAATCCAACTTACATGACTGCTTGTCAGCGAATTTATTTTTCAGATCAACCCCAAAATCAGAACATTGCAGCTAAAAGGGAATCTATGTATCAAACTTGTGAAAGACTTATTAGGTGTTTTATGATATAACAAAAACAAACTTTCTCAGTCCAAACCCAAGTTTGCAGGCTGTTTTTTTTTCTAATCAGTTACAAAATTGAAAGGGTCAAGGGGGACCTACATCTAAGATCTGAAAAAGATCCATCCAGCGCTTCTCAAGAAATAGCTAAAACAAACTTTCATTGTCAAATCCAGAATGGCTGCATGTTAACCATTTTGTTTTCTGATCAGTCCAACAATCAAAAGTGTGATGTTTGATGAATACATGGTCACATTGTAGTTCTTATAACACAACCAGTAGAAGATTAGAGTGTGACGTTTCGATGACGACATGGTCACCTTCATCAGACATATGACCAGTGTAGAGCGTACTAGCACTAACGTACGTAGTGTCTGAGATGTTAAGGAATACTATAATCATATGTACACCAAGGTCAAAAAGTACACAAGATGGTAACATGAAATGTTGGTATGAAATGTGTGTGAATTTGACAAGTTAACAACACTGAAACCATAGGTATTAGATTTAAGTACTAGTTACCTATCCTTCATACTGCTGAGTGATACTTTAGGGGAGGAACTTGTGTGACTGCCTGCTGTTGGTCCCTCCCATGACTGACTGAGTGGACTCTGGGAGGGGGACGACCCAAGGCTGCTGGAGTCAAGACTTGCTGTCAGGTCAGCATTCTTTCTCTCTGAACTGCTCATAAATTCAGCTGATTTCCTTTCATAACTGTTTGAGAACTCCGTCTCTTTTCCATCACTCCTGTCATTTATGATTGTGTGGGGTCTGTCACCAGTATGTGTGGTTGGAGGTGCACAATGAGCCATTTTGAGGTTGCTTGCTATGTCAGATTCACTTTTCACCTTCACCATGCCACCAGTCTTTCTGTACAATAAAAAAAGCACACTTTGTAAGATTTGTACCATGAATCCAGTATTAGCTTAGAATTTAGTTTCAGGAAACCATCATGAATTAATTTTCGGGGATATGAATTTCTGTTTCATTTGTCTTTTTGAACATTATAAGTCCAAACAGATTTAATTATGATAACTGACATAAGACAAAACTTTCACATTTTCAGTAAGGGAAAATATATGTAAGAAATTCCTCGTTCCTGTAAAGAATTCCAAGTCCCTAACCCTTAACATTAGTGCTCGTATAAAAAAATGACAAAGGTTCGTGACTTTTTATACCGTATCTCACCGCAAATAAGCCCCCTCTCGCAAATAAGCGTACAAATTTCTTGTAAACAAACCTATTGTCGGCTGGAGTCCCATTGTGCAAGGATTTAGCAGATGTGCTGGATATTGTGCCACATCCCTCTGTTAATGTCACACCCTCTGAGGACAATGAACTAGATTCTGGCAGACTTTCATCCAATAGATTTGTCTTATTTTCTACATTCTGTGAGGGACTTCTTTCTTCAGAAAAAATATCATCTTGATAAATATCCAGTGATAATCTCCTCTGTGAGAAATCTGTGAATAGATACAAAAATATATTTACTTGTACTATCTATATTCCAGATTATTTTCAGTATCCTTCAAACTCTTAAAGCCTATTCCATTAAAATATCTATCCAACAAGAAGACTTGAGAAATAAAGCTGTTCGTTCTACTTATTAAATGGTACTTCCTGAAGTTAATCACTTAATGTCTGGTCCCTGTGAGACAAACCCGAAGTCCTCCTGATAGGGAGATACTTCTGTGGAATGGCCATAAATGAAGTATTGTGTCTCCCCCGTCCCTTCTACAAGAACTTAAATTTAACTGTGAAACTATTACATCTTCAAATATGTCATGGCACTTTTTTTTTGATGGGAGAGAGATCTTTGTAGAATGCATTTTGTACTGATGAGTTAGCCTTGTAGGAACTGGTGTGAACCAACCAAGGTATTTGAGGACACATATAGATAATGAACCTGCTTTACTTCCAATTACCTATAGCATTAAACGTTTCTTCAATTATACCGTCTTATTTCAAATGATTACCTGTAGTCTTCAATGCTCCATCAATTATGCTGGTACTCACAGACCGTTTCATCCCTCCACCAGACTTGGTCCCTAAAAACATTAATTGCATACTGATTTTTTTTTTTTTTGCAATGAAAGAAATATTCCTGGCACTTTGTGAGTGTTATATTAATCCAAGTCCAATACTCTAACTTTTGTGTTGTGAATATCTTAGAATTTCATCGCTGCCAATAAAAAATGACATACAGAACACAGAAAGTATGAAAGTAGTGATTTAACTTCCAAACCTCCAACAGATCTTCTTTATCAGTATCTGTCAGACTTCATTAGAAGTGTGACCCTGGTAAAAAATAGCTGCAATATACCGCTCAGCTTGGGAAAACTTCTCTTTAGCTTGATTGGTTGAGCGTCAGACTAGTAAACCAGAGATCCTGGGCTTGAATCTTAACAGAAGCATTGAAATCAATAATGTTTTCTATTACATAAGACTGACTAATAAATACCCATCAATACTTAATATTTCCTCTTTAAAATCCTGTCCTGCTCTTTATATCTTATAACTATTTAATACCTACCTTTCTGTACAGGCTTAGTTTTGTTGTCTGTGCTGGGAACTCCAAGGTTCACTGTTTTCACTCTTCTCTTTTTCTTCACCTTGCCAGGAGAAGTGGAAACTTCCGAACTCTGATTCAATGCTAACACCGGGGCAAGATCTGAAAAAATGTTTAGTTTACATTCAAAATCAACTTATATTCTGTGATATATATCTCATCAAATCAATGTGACCTCAGAAACTAGACATTTAAGTTTTATTAACTTTTTTGTTGTCAAAATTCATTGCACATTAATGACAAGAGATTACTCTAGGCAGGTCAAGGTCACAAAGAACGTTATTGTATACCAGTAAAACAGGTCCTATTTTGAAAAATAGTATTACCAGGGACGTAACGTCTCTGGTATTACCAAACAAGTCAAAAGAATAAATCCAATCATGCAAGTTAAAAATATAAAACAAACAAAAAGATCACTCTGAGTAAGAGAATACTACATACACAATAGATATCGACATGGAGGACAGTTTCTGTTTCCAAAGTATTTTCAACAAACTAGCAAGTTATCTAGATAGACAAATCTGCTTATTTGATATATAGAAGAAAACACTTATTCAATATTTGCCTTTAATTTTTATTTATGATTTTGACTGGAACATTTTTTCACAAAACCTAGAAATAACGGTTTGAGCAGTTAACTCCCTTAGACTAGTGACTTTATATCAATTACTGGTTGAATCATTTGTCTTTCCTGTTTTACTTGCATTCATTAAGAAATGATTCAACATATAAAAAGTTGTATTTATTTAAAATGTCTGTGTTTTAAATCATTCCTAACTATAAATATTTCTCATTTTCCCAGAACCAAATGTTTGGAGATTCCAGACAGGATTTCGCCAATCATAAATGACTCCTGTTTCTAGAATAGTATTAAAACATCTCTTGACAATACAAATATTAGATTTTAGTGGAAGGAACTTACACACGTCCTTTAATTTATAATCTTCATTAAAATATAAAAATGATCAGATAAAAACTAACCTTCATCATTCTGCAAGATCTTGTGTGATTCAACTGGCAGGGTGTTGTCTATCTCATCTTGAGGAGGAGATGCAGCAACATTATCATCATTGTTATGTTCCGAATGAACCAAGGCACTTGTAATCTGTAATGATGGCTTCCCATTTATTTCTCTATCAATGTCCGTGTCACAACTAGGGCCAAGATCACAACTTCTGTCATGGTGACTGTCTCCAAATTCTTCCCTGTTCACCTTCGTGACAATATTGTTTTCCACAATGACTTCATTAGATTGCAACTCAGGTGAATTTGACCCAGTATGTAATTTTTCAATATCTATTTGTTCGTTTATGTCTTGTTTATTGTCTGCATCACTATGACAATAACTATTAGCACCATCCTCTTTACACACCTCATCCGTTTGTCTGAAATTTTCACCGTTCGGAGAAAAAATTGCTGAAAAGTCTTGGTTTGAATCATGATCAGTGACATCACAATCTAAGATGGCTTCTTCAGTAGACATCCTATTGACTGTGTTAATGACTTTGCTGTAGCTCTGAACAGAGGCTGAGCTACTTGACCTGCTCCTTCCAGTCTCAGAACTATCATCTTCATCTGAGATAGTTTCTACATCATTTTTTGAAGCTTCCACCATAAAGATGTTGTAATCATTCTCCAAGTCTGTTCCTTTGATCTGCTGCTGAATGCTCTGTAACCTGTCCACAGACAGATGTTTCCTCCACTTCCCTTTAAGAAGCACCTGCTGAAATTTACAACACAAATCTGCTGCCAATGTCACATTCTTCTTCTGGAGAATTGAGACGACCTGTGACACAGCAAACATCTGGATCCTCCGCACCTCCCCACTAGTCATAAACAGGTACATGTCACTTTTCACTGTGCAAAGATCTTTGATACCTGAAACCATAAAGTTATGTATGGAATGTGGAAAGGTAAAAAATATTTCAACATTTTATTCAACTTTTTTTTGTGCTCAGTGATCGACATCAATTATTCAAAATCATTGATTGTTTGGTCTGTAAATTTTACATGTGCCTTACAATTCAAATTACTGTATACTAAGCTCAATATTCCAAAATTGGCACATTCTTCACTTTACCAAATTAATGCATTCCAGCGGTCAACATTCAATCATACATTTTCATGAAATGATACAGTTTACAATACTGTTTTTCTAAAATTTACACTTTAACAGCATTTCTGTCTTTATGAGTACCACTTTTTATACTGACACTGGTTTTGAAGCATGTGAGGACTGCTCCTGCTTTATATTCAAAGCAGATAACTGAATCAGATCCAGTTTATTATCCACACTTTTAACATCTTTAGAGCAAACACTGAAACAGTTTTCTCCTCAGTGAAGCGTACAGTATCTAACTAAACATTATCCTACCGTGATGAGCTGCCATGACAATAAATAGTTACCCGTGTCTAATTCAGTCCATAGAATGACTTTTACTTTGACTGGGTTTAGAATATATACACGATTATTTTTCCAGCTCAGCAAATACTGTGACCTGCAAAAAAATATTTTGATTGTATAGAGATGAAAGATGCTCAATCAAATTATTAGCAAATACAAAGTGAAGGTATCTTAGCTTACTGGCAGATCTATGTAACAGAGGCCATTACCGGGTATTTATTTCAATGCCTCCACTAGGATGAGAACCCCATACCTCTGGCTTACAAGTCTGATGTTCAACCAATCAAGCTAAAGAGAAATTTTCTCTTGCCAAGCATTATATTGCTGTTAGTATTTTACCAATGTTACATCTAAATTATTCCAAAAAATACTGAAGGCAGTAACTATTCCTAAGAGTAATTATGGTTAAAAAATGTTAATTCCAGAGAAATGTCAATTTGGGCATTTGAAAGTAAACACCATTAGTTCAATTCAAGGGTTGCATGATAATATTTCACTTATTACACTTTCAATAGAACAAAGACAGGTTTATTTGTAATACTGAATAACTCACCCAAACATTTTCAGACGAGGCAAGTTGATTCCTTGTCCAGCCCACTCTGATGTTGGTGTTGTCACCCACTCTTTATCACTGAACAAAAGCAATCAAGAAAAAAAATAGCTATATGTTAAGAAGCATATGTGAAAACTGACGTCAGGTTAATCACTTACGTAAAAGAAGGGTAAGAAAAAAACTTTGATATGACTACTTTACAAGGCGTGACTACAACCGACTTCTGTCTATCTCATTCCCAGAAGTGTGACTACAACCGACTTTTGTCTATCTCATTCCCAGAAGTGTGACTACAACCGACTTTTGTCTATCTCATTCCCAGGACGTGTGACTACAACCAACTTTTGTCTATCTCATTCCCAGAAGTGTGACTACAACCAACTTTTGTCTATCTCATTCCCAGAAGTGTGACTACAACCAACTTTTGTCTATCACATTACCAGGATGTGTGACTACTACCAACTTTTGTCTATCTCATTCCCAGGACGTGTGACTACTACCAACTTTTGTCTATCTCATTACCAGGACGTGTGACTACAACCAACTTTTGTCCATCACATTACCAGGACAAAGTGTGGACAAGACTTACTTTAAATCAATCACTTTGATAAGTGTGGACAAAACTTACTTTACATCAATCACTTTGATAAGTGTGGACAAAACTTACTTTACATCAATCACCTTGATGGGAGGTGTGGACAGAACTTACTTGATGTCAATCACTTTGATGGGAGGTGTAGCTAGTAGATGTTTGAACTGATGCGTACTGAGAACATTGCCTTCATAGTCTACCTGTAAATTGAGATCAACTCAATTATTAAACATTAAATCAGCAAAGCATATTCTATAAATCAACCTGATAATTTTTTAACTTGCACAATTCTTAGAAAATCTTTAAAGACTTTAACGAACAGTTACAATTAATTTTGTTTTTAAATGACCAGGGGTAAACAACTTTACAAATCTCAAGTGTAGAAAATGCCACACCTCCCAGACCCGAGAACTTGGTCGTGCACAGTACATCATGGGAAAGGACGTCTTACTGAGCTTGTAGAAACATGCACCATACTCTCCCTCCCTGTAATAAAACCAAATGTCAATGAATTAAGTCATCCTAACTTCCACTGTTATATAGTTAACATCATATCCATCTCCTTGTAGCAAATCCTGAACATTACAAGGCCAAGCAACAGCACTTGCCAATGAAATGGTGATAGAATCTTTATTCATACATACGGTAACTATGGTTGACATTTAGCAGCTTATGGATAATGAATACATTAACAAGACTTTGCCCAATCTGAGGAATCAATGGAATTGTATACTGAAAAAGTACTGAAACAGAATTAATATTTATAATGATAACAGTATGAACAATAAACATGCTGCTGTAATTCTATGAAACTAGACAAAATTTTTTCATAACAAGAAAATGCTTAATAAGTGTACAAACCTTGGTTTCTTCCTCTAGTGGAGAACATGTAATTGTAGTGGAGAACACATGTAATTGTAGTGGTGGACATGTAATTGTAGTGTAGGACACATGTAATTGTAGTGGAGAACACATGTAATTGTAGTGGTGGACATGTAATTGTAGTGTAGGACACATGTAATTGTAGTGTAGAACACATGTAATTGCAGTGGAGGACATGTAATTGTAGTGAAGGACACATGTAATTCTAGTGGAGGACATGTAATTGTAGTGGTGGACATGTAATTGTAGTGGTGGACATGTAATTGTAGTGTAGGACACATGTAATTGTAGTGAAGGACACATGTAATTGTAGTGGTGGACATGTAATTGTAGTGGTGGACATGTAATTGTAGTGGAGGACACATGTAATTGTAGTGTAGGACACATGTAATTGTAGTGAAGGACACATGTAATTGCAGTGGTGGACATGTAATTGTAGTGGAGGACACATGTAATTGTAGTGTAGGACACATGTAATTGTAGTGTAGGACACATGTAATTGTAGTGTAGGGGACATGTAATTGTAGTGGAGGACACATGTAATTGTAGTGTAGGACACATGTAATTGTAGTGTAGGACACATGTAATTGTAGTGGAGGACATGTAATTGTAGTGGAGGACACATGTAATTGTAGTGTAGGACACATGTAATTGTAGTGGAGGACACATGTAATTGTAGTGTAGGACACATGTAATTGTAGTGTAGGACATATGTAATTGTAGTGTAGGACACATGTAATTGTAGTGGAGGACACATGTAATTGTAATTGTAGTGGAGAAATTGGATTAAAGTCTATCATCTACTGATAATATATCAACATATCAAATAAGACTGATTTCACACCTAATTCAGAAATAAATCACTCCCCATAACAGATTGTGTTAACAGGGTTAAGTTACCTGATTATTCTACAGAATAACCCCAGCTACTGTAACATTATAGACAGCTGGTTGGCTGGTTTATTATCAGATGTTATTGTGTCTACTTTGAAGACTGTCGTATTTTTCTCACTAGGCAAACCTTTAACTATTGGAGTTAACAACCCCTTACTTTAAAGTGTTGCAACAGTAGGCTCTTGTCATAGTGGAAACCAACAGCTTGTTATCAGACCAGTCCATCTGGATGACCGCGGATTCAAGACGCATGATGACATCCACAGGCATCACCACCAGATTCTTCACCTGATCAAAAGATCAATGTGAAAAAAGACATCAAACAGACATCTCAAGGTCAAAAAGTTAAAGAGTCCAACTTTCTTCAAAACTTGGAAAACAATTTCAAGGCCAGTGGATTATGAGAGGACAACAAATCTTCATACAGCTGCTCTGATTCACAATGACTAGAGAGCAGATACCATATCAAATATTTCTGATCACAAACTTTTACTCACCTTGGGGACAACAGTCATGGAAACTTTGCCGGTAACATCAGACACATAGATTTTACCACCAGAGTGTTCCCACTGTATACAGGTAACAGTAGTTCTCATGTGCTCTGTGACAAGTTTTAATCTCTCAGGCCGAGCTCGTCTATCAACATTCATCTCCATTACTATCACATGGCCGTTACTTTAAACAAGTAAAAAATGTTCAACCCTTTAAACACATTGATTTGTTTAAAAAACAAGATTAACAATCAGTTACAAGATTTTAGTGATATTAAAAGTGGAGAACAATAAATAATATGTAATAATTGAAACAAATTATTTCAGAATTTGATTTCTTAACACAGCAAATAACATAAAAACTGGTGTCATTCCGTTGTACTCCTACCCGTATGTTTTCAGAAATCAGCAAGAAATGTACCAGTTGATGAAGCAACGTGGCAAAATGATTGAAGAATAACATTCTACCATCAAAATGATTATGTTAAAGTTTTATCACAATTATCATTAGTGAAGAGAAATATGCCTTTTCATCACAATTGACTTATTCAGGCCTATGTGACTTACAGTGTTGAGAAGGCCACCAACTTCTCATTTGGACATAAGGACACAACATTCACTGCAGCAGGATCCTACAAAAAAAATGAATTCAGACTATGACATAATATTCTGTAGCATCCCCACAAGGATGATAACTACTGGGTAGTACTTCTATAATGATTTCAAAAGTTTTAATACCTTTGACCCTTAACCCTTAACCTATGACCATCAAAATGTCCATGAGGTGAAGATACAGAATATGCTGTTGTGACATGTTCAGGTATGATGGTATAAATAAATTTTGCCCCAAGTCATTTATATAGGCAAGAGAGACCCTGATATTCCACAACCAATACAAAGTATAGTCTATATGATAGAAACTCTACTTAATAAATTTATACTTCAGCAGAGAAATAATCTTACCACTTCTGGAAATACAACTTGAAGATGTTTCTGAGTAAGTCTGTCAAAGATATACACATTTCCAGTGTTACTACCCAATGCTATGAATCTGACAGACACAGAAAGACATGTGAACTGAAACAGAACAGAGAGAATGCATCGTTATACAATGACATTGTATTTTTACAGAAATCAATAATACATACATGTACAACACTGTAGTTTGAATATCTTACAAAAACTACCACAAAGTATACGTACTTCAATGACCCTTCACATTGGCAATATTTAAAATATTTTTATGTAGTGTCATTATACCTGTACAATGTTCCTGATAAGTTACAGAAAAGTATTGAACACAAATAAACTACATGTATATACTTCATACATAACTTGAACAATTCCAATTGGTCAACTTTTTTGTTTCTTTTGATGGCAGGATGTAGGCTGTAGACTTTCTCAAATGTTACAACTCAAACATACATGTATTACAAATAGAACATAATTCTTCAGCTAAAAAACCCATTTAATGACCATTCAACTATCAAGCATACCCTGAGACGAGCTGAGCCCCGGAGTGGAGATTGAAGATTGTCCAGTTGGCCTGACTCCAACAGAAGGTGTGTCCATCCTGGAGGGTCAGCCATCATTGTATTTGTTCTTTTCAACTGACCATCTTGGCACCCAGTCACAATACTTGTTGTATGTAAGGACACTTGCTGTTGAATGAGAAAAACCATAAAAAACAAACATATCACTCGTTGACTAAACCATCTCTCCAACATACCTAAATAGAATTATACATCCATGACTTTAAGATAAAATATATTGCCACAGTGACCTACATCTAAATGAAATGACATTTTTTCACAAAATAAAAATGGGGTTTGTTTCAGTACTTTTCTCCTTTACTTCACGAGTCAGAAAAAGAGTCATTCTCAAATTCATTATAACCAGCCACTCTCAAGTCTTTCAAGTCATCAATTTATAATTATTTATACAGATTTCTCCTGAAGTTGTATGCCATAAAATCTGCAAGACTAGCTACACTACATAAGTATACACCACATTATTTGATGTGACGTGTTTGATATATTTGTACATGGTTTTGTTTATGTTGGACTAGAAATATATATGTGCAGTCCTATCCCCTCCTGTTTCAGTCCAACAGTTCAAAGTTGCGTATATAAAAGTCATTTCGTCTACTTTAGACTCTATCCGTATCTTTGATGACTAAATAAATTCTATACGTTTAAAAAGATTTTTCTAGTTCTGCATGACTGGTGGCGCAATCAACCTGCAGCTAATGTTGATTACTCTGAAACTGTCAATCGAAACTATAGACAAGATTAGTAAGCCATTGTCATGTAAAGATATAAATCTTTTATATCATATATTATACAGCCTATTGAATCGTCTTTCAATATCTAATTCCATCGCTTTTAAGAAAATACTGCCACTCGCAGTAAGTACCTAGTATCCGATATAACCTACCGCCCTCCGATGTTTATTTTCACTTTGCTCCCTGCATCACATGACAAGCAAAAAACTTCTTCTAAGGGAGGTAACTCTAACAGCAGACGACAAAACACTGTTATTAAGCATCTAAATACAGACTACATAGCATGTAACACTTCAGTGATTAAAAAACGAATCGCACGTTTAAAAACAAATATTTTATCAGGCAGAAGACAAACATTACATTCATAGCAAAAGTCCGGCCTACTGTACTTGACAGTGGGGTGCATCACATGCTCATGTTGCAGCAACTCTTTTTCCGATACAAGTGTCACTATGTGTAGACTGTCTACTTCGTGAAAAAAAATCCGTTTTCGATTTTTTTTTTCAATGCAACCTCTTAAAAGTGGATTCCTCTATCATAAGAACAATAATAGACTTAGATATATATAACTACATACAATGTATTGATTTGGTTTAATGGTCTAAAAATGTATACCTTCCAAAAATGAAAGTTTTGACAAATGTCTTAAACCGTTGAGATCGATTGAATTACTACTTACTTTTAATATATTTAAGATTTTAAAATCTGTTTAAATACTTGATTGAACAATTTTTATTTAGTCGATGTTTGGATCTATATTTCTGAAGTTTTCTCCATCTATGGCAAAATACAAAATCGGTTTTGTGACACTGACCATGTATTATCTACATACTTGTGTATTGTATCATAGAATCAGTATGGCTTCCGTTAAAATCTTTGATAGAATGAAAAATCAGATTAAGAATGATTAATGTGAATTACAGAATTTCATTTAATGTATATGAAGATGACGGTGATATTACGGTTTGTTTTAACAAGTTTGGAAAAGGTGGTGTAACTGTTAATACAAACCCTACCAAACCCTGACTGACAGATCCAGTGAATAACCAAATGATATAGTGATTATATCACACCTACCAAATGTATCACCCCATCCAGCACTAATTTACCACGAGTCTTAATGAGTCTTCATATTACCTATTTAGTAGGGGTGTTTCGTCTCGCAATCATACGTATATATATAGGTAGGTATCTTTGTACACTTTGACCTTGACATAATGATTTACGAGTGAGAAATTGTAGAATGATAACAAGTGCATACTGTGTGTAGTCTGTAAACAGTGTTTATAAATGTCTGTACAGAGTGCGTTCACCCCTCATCGATAGTAGGAGGGAATGTTTCCGAAAACTTTCTATTAATAATTAAGTATTCTAGTGTTTAACTCTGTCATTGCTTAAACCAGAAATCTCGTAAGAAGTGGAAATATCATTGTATCTAGGACCGAATATGGTGCCATTTGACGTATTCATTGGCGTGTTGATGTGGACGGTTATAACGATGACGAGCCACGGATCTATCGAGGCCACACCAAACATCGTCTTCATCTTAACAGATGACCAGGATATTGAGCTAGGGGGCACGGTAAGGGGAACATATGTACATTATCATTTGCACATATAAAGTGTTCCCAGTTGTACTTCAATATATATAGAGAGAATAGGGAAAAGTTTGCCCAGAATTCGAACCACGGTCCTTCAAACTATTAGAGAGGAGACGAAAGGGTTTATAGGTCTTTGTCTACAAGGAAAGTTTTGATAAAATACTTATTTTTGTGTTAATTTATTGTGATAGAAACGTAAATCATGGACGAATACTACAATTATTCATTGATGAAGATAATTAACATCGTATAATGAACCAATAATGTATCTAATAATTTTCCAGATTCCCATTGAGAAAACTCGTGTGTTAATCGGCAGCCACGGGAAAGTTTTCCAGCAGTTTGTATGTTTAGGGCGTATAACCTATTTCAACTTATTTTTTTATTACACACCTTAATGATTTAGCTGAAAACATGAAGTTGTAACCAGTAATGATACACAAGCGGTTAAGATATGTAATTTTCAACATTAATTCAATAATTCCACGTTTAAATAACTTTAAACTGAATTACGTTTTCATAAAATAAATCAAGAGCTGAAATACGTGTTTAACTTATAAAGGCCAATACCTGAACACGTCTCTCCAGATATCAGATAATATGTAACAATATTATTCATTGTTTTCATCAGTACGTGAACACGCCCCTTTGCTGTCCGAGTAGATCCAGCATCCTCACAGGAAAACATGTGCACAATAATTTGGCGTTAAACAATTCTCTGGAGGGAAACTGCAGCAGTCCTGCATGGCAACAGACCCAGGAAGTGAACGCCTTCCCGACCTACCTCCACAGTCATGGTTATACGACATTTTTCGCTGGAAAATACCTCAATCGTGTACGATTGTCCGAGTAATCAGACAAAGTAACAGCAGAAAAAAACTTTCCAACAGTAACACTTGTACCTCTTTTCGGCTCCCCTGATATCCGGAGTAATGGACCTCATTTAGAATACTTCGGAATATTTGCTTATATTGATTGAAGATGAAAAAATCCAGATTAAATTGTATGATACCAAAAATAATTACGATTTTATATACAATATTTTAAACCCCTTTTTGTGGGAGAGGGGATAGAAATATTCCAAAATGCATTTTTTCCGGATACTTTCAGTAATTCTCATTTTGACGTGTTCCCAGTTTTTTTGTTTTTGTTTTGTTTTTGTTTTATATATTTATTTTTTGCGAAATTGCAGTTCTTCGATGCATTTCACGACCTGTAATAAGATTTAACCTGGTTGAATATACCCGAGGGTAAACAACTGTACTAAGGAGCTAAAGCTACTGTAACATATTGTAAATGTCAATCACTCGTAATCTGTTTCAGTACGGTAACAAAAAGGCTGGTGGTATTCAACATGTACCGCCGGGATGGACACATTGGAATGGACTAGTAAGTACCATCTTTGAAGTGGAAGATTTCAACACATAATGTGCTGCTTTCTTCTTACATGTATCACGTGACGATCCCACGTACAGAAATATATACCGACTTTTCATTTTTGTTTGGTTGCTCTTAACTTTTGAACTATTTTTAGATAAAATGTGTGATTATTTTTTGTACAGGTTGGGAACTCTAAATACTACAACTACACTCTCTCTGTAGACGGCGTAGAAGAGAAACATGGCGATGACTACGACAAGGATTATTTTACTGATGTTATCGTAAGTGGCCTCTACAGAATTACATGTATGTAAACTTAATGTCCATAGCCCATGTCCTGGGAAATTACATTAAATTATAGGCAGATATGTTTGTCTGAAGAAATTATCGTACAGACACAGTGATGGTGTTTCAGATATATTTGACTAGAGAAGTTATCGTACAGACACAGCGATGGTGTTTTGGATATGTTTGTCTAGAGAGATGATCGTACAGACACAGTGATAGTGTTTCGGATATGTTTGTCTAGAGAAGTTATCGTACAGACACGGTGATAGTGTTTCGGATATGTTTGTCTAGAGATATGATCGTAAAGACACAGTGATAGTTATCGTACAGACACAGTGACAGTGTTTCAGATATGTTTGTCTAGAGAAGTTATCGTACAGACACAGAGATAGTGTTTAAGATATGTTTGTCTAGAGAAGTTATCGTCCAGACACAGTGATGGTGTTTCAGATATATTTGACTAGAGAAGTTATTGTACAGACACAGTGATGGTGTTTTGGATATGTTTGTCTAGGGAGATGATCGTAAAGACACAGTGATAGTTATCGTACAGACACAGTGATAGTGTTTCAGATATGTTTGTCTAGAGAAGTTATCGTACAGACACAGAGATAGTGTTTAAGATATGTTTGTCTAGAGAAGTTATCGTCCAGACACAGTGATAGTGTTTCAGATATGTTTGTCTAGAGAAGTTATCGTACAGACACAGAGATAGTGTTTAAGATATGTTTGTCTAGAGAAGTTATCGTCCAGACACAGTGATGGTGTTTCAGATATGTTTGTCTAGAAAAGTTATCGTACAGACACGGTGATGGTGTTTTGGATATGTTTGTCTAGGGAGATGATCGTAAAGACACAGTGATAGTTATCGTACAGACACAGTGATAGTGTTTCAGATATGTTTGTCTAGAGAAGTTATCGTACAGACACAGAGATAGTGTTTAAGATATGTTTGTCTAGAGAAGTTATCGTCCAGACACAGTGATGGTGTTTCAGATATATTTGACTAGAGAAGTTATTGTACAGACACAGTGATGGTGTTTTGGATATGTTTGTCTAGGGAGATGATCGTAAAGACACAGTGATAGTTATCGTACAGACACAGTGATAGTGTTTCAGATATGTTTGTCTAGAGAAGTTATCGTACAGACACAGAGATAGTGTTTAAGATATGTTTGTCTAGAGAAGTTATCGTCCAGACACAGTGATAGTGTTTCAGATATGTTTGTCTAGAGAAGTTATCGTACAGACACAGAGATAGTGTTTAAGATATGTTTGTCTAGAGAAGTTATCGTCCAGACACAGTGATGGTGTTTCAGATATGTTTGTCTAGAAAAGTTATCGTACAGACACGGTGTTGGTGTTTCGGATATGTTTGTCTAGGGAGATGATCGTAAAGACACAGTGATAGTTATCGTACAGACACAGTGATAGTGTTTCAGATATGTTTGTCTAGAGAAGTTATCGTACAGACACAGAGATAGTGTTTAAGATATGTTTGTCTAGAGAAGTTATCGTCCAGACACAGTGATAGTGTTTCAGATATATACGTACAGATACAATTTAGTCTCTGCCAATGACTTTAATGTACATTTATGTCTCTATTCAGGGATTTAATGAATATCTAACAAGAAAATAAAAATGTACCCTTATCAAGACATAAGTAACAAACTATACCTAAAATCGTTGGTCGTTGTTTTATTTTTCCAGAACAGAAAAGCAACAGCCTTTTTAAACTCTGCCCCGCCTACTCCGTTCTTTATGATGCTGGCAACACCTTCTGCCCATGCTCCATTTACCTCTGCTCCCCAGTACAGGAACCGCTTCAGCCAAGTACAGGCCCCAAGAAACGGGTCCTTCAACAAACATGGCTCGGTAAGCTAGAACTACCGATGCTGGCAGCATGGAGGAAACTGGGCACGGAGTGAAAACCATAAAACTAATAATATAGAAAATAGCAAGTAGTTGCCAGTTTTATCCGTCCATCCGTCTTTTCTTTTCCTGAGTATAACTTTGCGCGCAGTCAAGCAAGGATCATGAAATTTGATGCATACATAAGTCATATTAAAGACGATGAGCAATGAACCAAATTCAGGAAATCTCCCAATTACTTAGTTAAAGCCCTTTCTTAAAATTTTGTATCCGGAGTACAATTTGTTTGCATTAAAACTGGGATAATGAAACTATGTATATACGTTGCTATACTTAAACGGTGCTCAGTGTATAAAATTCAGGGCCTGCAACCAATTCATTACAGAGTTATTGCCCTTTATTACAGCATTTGTGTCCGGACAATAGTTTTGCTTTCATTTGAGCTAGGATAATGATATTGAGTGTGGTATATACATTTACATTGGTCTTACTTTGACCATACGCAATATGTCGGATTCAGGACCTGAAACCCCTTGAATACATAGTTATTGCCCTTTGTTAACATTGTGTTGCTTATAAAGTCGTTTTCGGGGAGCAAATTAGTTTCAATTATACCCTTGTTTTCGTTTTTTGTTTCAGGATAAACATTGGTTAATACGACAAGCTAAAACACCCATGTTAGAAGAATCTGTCCGGTATCTGGACAGTATATACAGAGACAGGTAACATGTACTGCACAACAGTGTCCTTAAAACTGTTGTACGGTGTAATCCGGTATACACAGGCAACCACAGGCACTCATACTGTACTACAGTGTAATCAGGTATACACAGGCCCTACTTGTACTGTACACTACAGTGTAATCCGGTATACACAGGCCCTACTTGTACTGTACACTACAGTGTAATCCGGTATACACAGGCCCTACTTGTACTGTACACTACAGTGTAATCCGGTATACACAGGCCCTACTTGTACTGTACACTACAGTGTAATCCGGTATACACAGGCCCTACTTGTACTATACACTACAGTGTAATCCGGTATACACAGGCCCTACTTGTACTGTACACTACAATGTCATCCGGTTTTCACAGGCAACTACTTATACTGTACACTATAGTGTAATCCGGTATACACAGGCCCTACTTGTACTGTACACTACAATGTCATCCGGTTTTCACAGGCAACTACTTATACTGTACACTACAGTGTAATCCGGTATACACAGGCCCTACTTGTACTGTACACTACAGTGTAATCCGGTTTACACAGGTAACTACTTGTACTGTACACTACAGTGTAATCCGGTAAACACAGGCCCTACTTGTACTGTTCACTACAGTGTAATCCGGTTTACAAACTAGCACTTATATACATTACTACATGATATTTCGGTATATTTAAGTAACCGCTTTAATAAGGTACTTGCACACGGGTATCTGTTTGATTGATTACTGTGATGTAATGAGGTGTCTGTATACCGTGTGGTAATTTCTACGGTGTAATGAGGTACTTGTATACACGGGTAACTGTTTGGTAAGTACTTCGGTGTAATGAGGTGTCTGTCTACACGGGTAACTGTGTGGTAAATTCAACAGTAACAGGAGGCACCTGTTTACATGGATTGTCGTGCGATATATACATAAAACTATGCAATATTGCGGTTAAACTGTACATATAGACAGAGATTCATTTTCTATATCTATATGTATATAGATATTTTGACGTACAGGTGGAGAACATTACTGTCGGTGGATGATATGGTGGAGAACTTGGTGAACTTACTAACTACAAAAGGTCTCATAGACAACACATATATCTTCTTTTCCTCTGATAACGGTTACCATCTCGGTAAGTAAAGATGTCATTTTACATGTATATTCTCCTCTGATGATGATTACCATGTAGGTATGTAAACGTGTCACCACACTTGTAATTCTGTAGGTAAAGGTGTCGCCACACCTGTATCTCTGTAGGTAAAGGTGTCACCACACCTGTAACTCTGTAGGTAAAGGTGTCACTACAACTGTATCTCTGTATGTAAAGATATCACCACCCCCATATCTCTGTAGGTAAAGGTGTCACCACACCCGTATCTCTGTAGGTAAAGGTGTCACCACACCCGTATCTCTGTAGGTAAAGGTGTCACCACATCTGTATCTTCTCAAATGGCAGTTGTCGGTAGGTTAATAACTATATCAGCGTTGCAGCTGATAATGTTCCTGATTAGACTGTAGTGATGTTTAAATTTGCACATATGTCAATATATGACTTTATCATACATTTATAAGACTGAAATCGTCAATTTATAAACAAAATGGAGGGAAAATATCATAGAAACAAAAGCACGGGACAATTTGCTGTAAATTGTTCCACGATCTGATTTAGATAATAGAAATATGGGAGTTTAGGAAATATGATTTCGTTTTTCATGGAGTCTTCACGGTGTTTTATCATACGGTTGTATTACAGGCCAGTTCTCACTACCGTTAGATAAACGCCAACTCTACCAGTTTGACATCCATGTGCCTTTCATGGTCCGGGGACCGGGCGTAACTCCAGGGGCGGTCAGTCAAGTAAGAGCAACAAATGTAGTCTCAAACATTCTCCAATATGTTTACCTTTCATTTGCAAATAAAAATGATTCAGAAGTGTAACTTTACATCTTTGCTAAGTAACTTTATTTTGTTTTCGTGTTTCAGTTTAATATTCCTAGTTACTTCATTCAATTACTACCTGCCTTCGTGTTTTAACTACAAACTATCCATTGAAATGAATTTTAAAACCTATCGCAGACATATTAGTATAATCCATATTTCTCTCCGCGTTTTGGTTTTTGTTTTGTTTCGTGTGTGTATTTTGTTTGTTATCATTTTTACGCTTGCATGACGTCTGGTTTCAGGAATTGGTGACAAGTATTGATCTAGCTCCAACTTTTTTGGATATTGCTAAAATCCCGCCTCCGTCCGACATGGATGGTTTGTCACTTCTACCAAGACTTCTCTCTGATACCCCGACTAAGGACCGGAAATATCTTTTGATTGAGCATCATGGAGAACACACCCCTATTATACCCGGATGTCCTCAGTATAAGGACCAAAATATGGCGGTACGTCCAACTTGTATGTCTGGCAAAACTGCAATTAACAAGCTTTGTGTTTCTGTGTTGTGAAAGTCGAATATATTTTTCTTTATATGGATTTTCTTCGGTTTTCCAACACCATATATTGCCCAAGGAAGTAGTCATTGTCGTACCTTCCATTTCAAAACACTTTCTGTTTATTACGAATATCGTCTGATTTATCCGTTTTACAGAACTGCGAGTCTGCCTGTGTATGCGAGGACTCCCTGAACAACACATACACCTGTGTATTGGGTGGAGAGGAGGGACAGTTTTACAAGTATTGTAAACTTCAGGATGACGAGGTACATACATTATTGCCTATGTACATCTATATATGTTATTATCTGTATGTATGTATGGCTCTACTTCGATATATTTGTCTACATTGATATTGCTAGCTTTGTCTAACATGACGACTTTAAATCTTGGTGGTCGGTGGCGCTGTGGTAACACAATCGCCTTTCACCAAGACATACGAGGTTCATTTCCCGGCACGGAGGTTAAAAGGTACAGGGTCGCCTACCCGACCACGTCGGTTTTCCCTGGGAACCCCGGTTTCCTCCCACAATAAGACTCATCGCGCACATTTATCTTTACCAACAAGAGTGATTAATAAAGCTGAAAGCTTGTTTCGATATTGTCGTAAAATAAACAAAAATAAGTTTATATTTTTTATGACAATAATAACAGATTATCCAGTTTAGATCCTGTTGATGTGGTGTTATATTACTTAGATGCTATATTACTTAGATTATCTTTTCGTTTCAGAATTTTGAGGAGTTTTATGACCTGCTTGTTGATGCTAGTGAACTTACCAACATCGCACCTGTAATCAAGAAAAATGCTTCCTTTTACAATTACGTGACCAGAACATTATCGCATCTAGCACAGTGTACAGGATCCTCATGTTCACATATTCCTGATAAGGAACTCTTTTGGAAGTTCAGACAGACCTGTTTAGATGTGTTTATGTATATAGTCGAACTTATAAAAACAATACAACATGTCTTTTATAGTAGTTGAAATGTATATGAACTCACATTATTGCAGTGTAGTTCAATTAAATCGACCGTTCTGAGTTACTGTTGCTGGAATAGGTTGGTACATCGTTCAATTTGGATATGAAATAATACAACATTTGCTAACATTGTTAGAATGAGATCACTTGCTAGAGGTCTGGTATGAAAAAACAAGTTATGTATTGCGGGTGGTTCAACATGTTGATAGAGCTCAGGTAAAAAAATCTTTTAAGACATGCATTGATAGCTTAACATGTATGTATTACTCTGTAGGGGCATTTTTAGAAAATCTACTGACTTTTAGCTGTCTAATATTGAGACTTGTCACATTGCAGATTACACTTCTAAAGTGGCGTAAATAAATCCAAAAATCTGTTGCAATGGTGACAAATATAAGCTATTGAATTGTCCAACAGACTAAGCCTGTTCCACGATTATTTTTTTAGTTATTATAACAAGATCATTTCTATGTTTATTCTGATAATAATTTCATTTCAAGATAAAGAAGGCTGATTCATTGTACATGTGTCTGTTCTGTATTCAATGAAAACCAGCATTCCCAGATGTCTCTTCATCCTCAGTTTAATCAGTCTTGGCAAAATAAAGATAATGTCTAATTTCGCCTATGTTTTCACCGAACAGCAAAATGATCAAGGTTTCTATGAACAAAAACTTACGCGTGCATAGACCAAAATGGCATCCACTTTCTGCATCGAAGTTGTTCTTTCCATACGGAAATCGGATTTAAAAATTGCAAGTTTATGAAAGCCACAAAACCACGAATTTTCAATCGCTGATATTGATTATTAATGAAGACGGAGTAGTTATTTCATGACATCCAATTTAAAAAATCAGTTATCAGTTTATGTTACACATGAAATGTAATGCTCCGAATCACTTAAGAAAGTAAGTCAATTTTAGCCGCCATGTAATGTTTTTGTCACGTGCCGGCAGATTCTTCGCCCATATCAATGAAAATTCTTGCTGACAATAAGATATCTGCGTTGATATATTTTTTTTAAAAAAATGAACTATTTTACATTTGTTAAAAACTGAGATTTACTGTCAAAATTGTTCAATTTGTAAATAGATTTTCAAGAGTAAGGTCGCTCATGCCTTTGCTCACTGGATCGTCTGCTTGAAAACAATCAACACGAGGAATTCTAATCAGTAGGTCCTTAACAAATATTGTAAAGTTTGAATCGACATGCTTTGCTATTAATTCGATAAATGATAAATATTTTATGAAATGGATGCTTTTTTGAAAATTTAGGGATTCGACACGTCAAAACAATTTATAAATGCCATCCTTCTGTCCTCGAGGATGCATCATTTGTTACCCCATACCAGAGACGTATATATACGTCTCTGCCCATACTTAATCTCTTTTGGGAATCTTCCTTGAGATCATTTATATCGGAAGTTTGAGAATGTCCCTCGTCCCGTCCACATCGTCAAACTTCCAATATAAATGAGTCCCAAGGAGGAATCCTAAAACGGATTACCCCATACTGTATCCCACACTAGCTATATATAGTCGTCCCGAATTAAAATGAAAACTTCTTCATTTGTATTTAACACCGTCATCAGTTCCACGTAGAATTCCGAAGCCACATGCATATATACATATCCATCATAAACAAATCATAGGAATATTAATATTTGCATATTTTCAGAGACGCAAATATGAGATGTACATATAGATCTCTGATGTGATTGCTATACAGCATTGTGAAACATTGTGGTATGTGTTACATGTTGTATCATTATTAATTAAATCTATTTCAGATGTAACAGGCACTCACCATTGCCCAGGTGATCAAAAACGAAGAATTTATTTTCAAAATGAAGTGAAGCCAACACAGATGTGGGCACATCAGATCTAAATTGGTGATGACAACAAAATCTGGAAATAGTAAATTTCTTCAACTGAAATGAGTATGGAGAAGAAAAAGGAGTCTAATGGTACATAGTGTAATTGGATTGGAAATTTTTTCACTTTGCATTTTTTTTTGTCAGATTGCTGAATAAGTACACACACAGGTCTTTATTTATGAGCTTGTCATCAGAAACTGATAAAAATCAATAAAAAATATAAATCATAGTGATTTAATTGTCATGTCAGAATTTTTAGCTGTTACTGAAAACAAATACATATATCCTTGGTCCAGTTAGTTAGAGTACATGTAAATTCCAAATTGCTACTGACACCTTGACAAGTTATAATACTACTTAAACCATTTTGTTGCAGAAGTGAAGACTGATGTGAAACTTTTACTGGAATGTCTCCAGTATCAGGCTGACAATGCTGCAGCAACTAAACAAGCTCTGTTTACGCTGGCCTCCATCTTCTCAAACCATGGTATTTTTATATTAATTATAATTAATGATGTGGTGCAACAACCTTGCCAATGTCAACCCATATATTTTCAAAACTTTCTTTATCGGGTATGTTTAAAATTTGTGACTAGTATTCTATCTCATGTAGAATGCGCTTCTAAAACCAATAATATTACCCTGGTAAATGAGAAATGAATGCAGACTTGATCTGTTATTGCACAATTCCATACTCTTAATGAATTGTTGTTTGGTCACATTGCAGAAGGAGCGAAGGATCATTTCCGTAGTATTGGAGGGCTTAATTTTGTTTTCAGCATCATAACTTCCACCACAAATTCAGAAGTACAGGAATCAGCATTCTACTGTTTAGGATGTTGCATTGAAAACAATGGTAATCAATATGACATGGCATACATGCATATGTGATGTTAGTTATTTTTAATGGACAGCAGAAGAAAAGTAAATGGTAAATAACTGTCCTTATTAGGTAAAATATGTATTAGGTAATCACATGATATTTCTTGCATTCATTTTTTGTTTGTTTGTTTGTGTGTGTGTGTGTGTGTGGGGGGGGGGGGGGGGTGGGAGGGGGGGCACATCAATCAAGAGACAAACCTCAAGGATGTCTACTTTCCAGAAAATTTGATTGTGTTGGGTTAAAGTTAAAAAGTTTTGTCAGTGCTTAAGTTTCACTCATTAAGTCACTATTACTATGAATACAAAATTCTCAAATTCTCATTATTGAGCCATTTTACTTTAATATTCACCATGCATGTTACTAGGATATTTTTTAAAATGACTGATTTAGGAGACAAATAGTTAATCAAATAATAAATAATAGTTCAATGCAACTTTGCCAAATAAAATCTTAACGTGTGAGTTTTATACAATGCCAACAAAATTTAAAACATGGTTTTAAGAAGATTGGTAGTTCCTGAAAGTTACTGGACATACCTATTTTGTGACATATTGTAAAACACTAGATATTTTATGTATATAAAATTTGAACCTTATCAATTTCCTTTTTTGACAAATGGCAGTATTTTGCCAGAAGTGCCTCACTTCTACCAGTGTGTTTGTATACCTTCATGGAATCCTGAGTGATACACATGGCCCTACCAGGCTCAAACAAACAGCTAACTTCTTCCTTCTCAATCTTGTTTCCAATAATGGTAAGTATCATTATACACAGTGCCCTTAATTGGAATAATTTTTTACCACACATAAAAGTGCAGTTATTAGGGCATGAGGATTGAGATAGCATTTCTTCCTATTCCCAGTCTGATGCTCTGTGAGAAAGCATTTCACCCTAATCTCAGTCTGTTGCTCTGTGAGAAAGCATTTCATGCTACTCTTGGTCAGATGCTCTGTGAGAAAGCATTTCACGCATAATCCCACTCTGATGCTCTGTCTTGCATTGTGGGTCAGTATCTCCCCATCCATGTTTCAATTCTATATGCTTGTTTTATGATTTGATTAATTTCATTTCATGACGATGCTTTCTATACCAATTGCTTTCAGTTACAAAGATGGGGTCAGGAATTCCACCCCACTTTCTCTTTTGGTATTATTTTATTTCCTCTTCACTTTGAGATTATTTCAGAATACTGAATTCCAAAATTCTTAAAATTTATCTTGTTGATACACTGGTGTATAGTTCGTAAGGACAAGGTCACTAAAATCAATATGGGATTCCTGTATGCATTTAAGTGCCTTGATAACTTTTCAGGGTTTTATTATGTCAACCAGTTTTCTCAAGCAACAAATTTCCAAGTAAAGAAAAAATGGAGGTTCCTATTATCACTCAGTTTTAAACCTTAGATATCCCCCTTGAGGTAGAGGTTCGTTCTTCCTTGTATGAAACAATAGATTTCCAGGTCTGTACAGCTCTTTGACAGAGTGTAAATATAGATCTTACAGCCTTCAGTCACACAGTAATGATTGACTCATTCTATTGTTAAATTGTACATTAAGTACATCAAGACAAGTAGTGAACATTTTTCTGTTTCTTTTTGTTCCCCTCCCCCCAACATGTCTAACATTGTATCTGTTTCCCTGTATTGTCAGGTCAAGGACAAACATTAGTGAGAACTACAGGATGTTTATCAGATTTATTGCAGTTACTACGGTAAGTAAACCAATGTTGATTAAGGTTTGATTATAGTTGCTACAGGTATCAAGTTACCATTTCGAAAAGAATATTGATGTGAAATCATACTTAAAAGTGTGCTGGCTTTGTAGACTTGCCTGACACCAACAATTATGCAATAAAAACCTGCATAAGTATGACATGTTGAAAATGTTAGATCACTATTTATACTATAGTTGTTATGGTATGTCTAAATACATGCATTAAAAATGGTAATACATTTAGTTATAAACAGGGAAAGGTGTCGAGAGAGTTTCACAAATTGTACATCCATTCATCATTTTATTTATCACAACAATTATAAGTAATATTGATAGATATGCTGATATACTGTCAAGATTTGTTTTCTAATGTCAAGAGCTTCCAATTGACTTCAAACATTATGTTATGTGAATTTGAAAACACTCCCACTGTAATCTTAAAAGTACTGACCATCTTTCTGTTTAATAAGTGCTATTGAGAAGAACCAGTTTTGTCTGTCATGATGTTTTCATTTATTGTGCTCACAGGCCGCC